ACAACCCACAGAATGGAAAAAAATAACTAAGTCATATACCTCGTATGTGTCTAATATATAGAATATATAAAGAGGAGCGCCTCGGTGACTCGGTTAAGCTTCTGACTTGATTTCAGCACAGGTCATGGTGTCATGGTCATGAGATCGAGCCTCTCATCGGGCTCCCTGCTCAGCAGGGAGTCTGCTTGGGATTCTCTCCCTCTCCCTCTGCCCCTCCCTCCTCCCTACTCGTGTGCACTCTAAAATAAATCTTAAAAAAAAAAAAAGAATATGTAAAGAACTAAAGCTTAAAACAACCCAACTCAGCAACAACAGTTTAAAAATGGGGAAAGGACTTGAACAGACTCTTCTCCAAACCAGATATACAAATGGCCAACAAGCACATTTAAAGATGCTCAATATCCTACTCACTAGGGAAATGCAAATCAAAACCACAATGAGCTACCATGTCATAAGTATTAAAATGAGTATAATTTTTTTAAAAATGGAAAATAAGTGTTGGTGAGGATGAGAAATTAGAACTCCCATACATTACTGCTGGGAATGTAAAATGCTGCAGTTGCCATGGACAATCATTTGATGGTTCCTCAAAAAGGTAAACATAGAATTACTAAATGACCCAACAATTCAACTCCTAGGTATATAAACTCAAAGAATTGAAAACAAGGACCCAAAGAGATGCTTGTACACCCATGTTCATGGCAGCATTATTCACAAAAGCCAAGAAGTGGAAAAAAAGCTCATGTGAAATCAACAGATAAATGTTTAAACAAAATGTACATTTGAAGAATATTATTCAGCCATGAAAAGAAATAAAATTCTGATACATGCTACAACATGGATAAAACGTGAAAACATCATTCTAAGTGAATGAAATAAGCCAGACACCACTATGGTAAAGCTCCACTTACATGAAATACCTACAATAGGCAAATTCAGACACAAGAAGTACAGGCATACCAGGGGTGCCTGGCTGGCTCAGTTGGAAGGGCATGCGACTCTTGATCTCAGCGTTGTGATTTCAAGCCCCATGTTGGGCGTAGAGATATACTTAAGTAAATAAATAAAAACTTAAAAGAAAAATTAGACATACCTTGGAGATATTGCACGTTCAGTTCCAGACCATTGCAATAAAGCAAATACCATTAATAAAGTGAGCCAAATAAATTTTTTCATTTCCTAGTACATATAAAAATTATGTTTATGCTATACTGCAGTCTATTAAGTGTGCAATAACACTAAGTACATACTTTTGTGAAAAAAAATTCTTTATTGTTAAAAAAAAATGCTAACCCGTCTGAGCTTTCGGTGTGTCACAGTCCTTTTGCTGGTGGAGGGTCTTGCCTTGATGTTGATAGCTGCTGACTGATCAGGGTAGTAGTTGCTGAAGGCTGGAGTGGCTGTGGAAATTTCTTAAAATAAGACAATGAAGTCTGCGGAAACGATGGAAGAGTCCTTTCATGCTATTTGATAGCAATTTACCCACAGAACTTCTTTCAAATTGGAGTCATCTTAAACCCTGATACTGCTTTATCAACTAAGTTTATTTATGTGATATTCTAAATCTTTTGCTGTCATTTCAACAATCTTCACAGCATCTTTACCAGGAGTAGATTCCATTTCAAGAAACCCCTTTGCTCATCCATAAGAAGCAACTTCTTATCATTACAAGTTCTATCATGAAATTGCAGCAATTCAGTCACATCTTCAGGCTCCACTTATAATTCTAGTTCTCTTACTATTTCCACCACATCTGCAGTTACTTCTGCTCAAGTCTTGGAATTAGCTTCTTCCAAATTCCTGTTAATGTTGATATTCTGGCCTCTTCCCATGAATCACACATGTTGTTAATGGCACTTAGAATGGTGAATCCTTTCCAGAAGTTTTCAATTTACTTTGCCCAGATCCATCAGAGGAATCACTACTATGGCAGCTATAGCTTTTGAGATGTATTTTTTTTTTTTTTTAAAGATTTTACTTATTTGAGAGAGGGAGAGGGAGAAGCAGACTCCCTGCTGAGCAGGGAGCCCGATGCGGGGCTTGATCCCAGGACTCTGGGATCATGACCTGAGCCGAAGGCAGCCACTTAACCGACTGAGCCACCCAGGTACCCCGTGAGATGTTTTTCTTAAAGAATAAGACTTGAAAGTCAAAACTACTCCTTGATCTACGGGCTCCAGAGCAGATGTTGTGTTAGCAGGCATGAAAACAAGATTGGTCTTGGTTGTCCATCTCCATCAGAGATCCTGGGTGTTCAGGTGCATTGTCAATGAACAATAATATTTTGAAAACCTTTTTCCTGAACAGTAGGCTTAAAATATTCAGTAAATCATGCTATAAAGAGATGTGCTCTCATCCAGGCTTTGTTGTTTCACTGACAGAGCACAGGGAGAGTAGATTTAGCATAATTCTTAAGGGTCTTAGGGTTTTCAGTATGGTCAATGAGCACTGGCTTCAACTTATAGTCATCAGCTGCATTAGTCTCTAATAAGAGAGTCTATTTTTTTTTTTTTTAAGATTTTTATTTATTTATTTGAGACAGAGAGAATGAGAGACAGAGAGCATGAGAGGGAGGAGCAGACTCCCTGCCTAGCAGGGAGCCCGATGCGGGACTCGATCCCGGGACTCCAGGATCATGACCTGAGCCGAAGGCAGTCACTTAACCAACTGAGCCACCCAGGCGCCCCGAGTCTATTTTTTTTTTTTTTTAAGATTTTATTTATTTATTTGAGAGAGAGAGAATGAGAGACAGAGAGCATGAGAGGGAGGAGGGTCAGAGGGAGAAGCAGACTCCCCGCCGAGCAGGGAGCCCGATGCGGGACTCGATCCTGGGTCTCCAGGATCATGACCTGAGCCGAAGGCAGTCGCTTAACCAACTGAGCCACCCAGGCGCCCCTATTTTTTTTTTTTAATCATCAGCTGCATTAGTCTCTAATAAGAGAGTCTTTTTTTTTTTTTTTTTTTAAGATTTATTTATTTCAGGGCGGGGAGAGAAAGAGAATCTCCACCAAGTGTGGAGCCCAAAGCAGGGCTTCATCCCACAACCCTGAGATCACGAGCCAAAAATCAAGAGCCGGATGCTCAACCAACTGAACCATCCAGGCACCCTAGTCAATCTTTTGAAACTCTGAAGCCAGGCACTGACTTCTCCTTTCTAGCTATGAGAGACCCAGATGGCATCTTCTTCCAAGAGAAAGCTATTTTGCCTACACTGAAAATCTGTTTAATGTAGCCACTTTCATTAATTATCTTTAGCTAGATCTTCTGGATAACTTGCTGCTTCATCTTGTACTTTTATTTTATGCAGACATCTTTCCTTTAACCTCATGAATCCACCTCTGTTAGCTTCAAACTTTTCTTCTGCAGCTTCTTCACCTCTCTAAGAGAACTGAAGAGAGACAGGGCTTTGTTCTGGATTAGGTTTTGGCTTAAGGAAATGTTGTAGCTGATTTGATCTTCTACCCAGGTCAATAAAACTTTCTCCGTATCAGCAATAAGGTTGTTTCACTCTATCATTTATGTGTTCACTGGAGTAGCTCTTTTAATTTCCTTCAAGAACTGTTCCTTTGCATCCGACAGCTTGGCTGACTGGAGCAAGGGGCCTAGCTTTCAGCCTATGTTGGCTTTTGACATGCCTTCCTGACTAAGCTTAAATTATTTCTAGCTTTAATTTAAATTCAGAAATGTGTGACTCTTCCTTTCACTTGAACAACTAAAGGCCATTGTAGGGTTATTAATTGGCCTAATTTCAGTACTGCATCTCAGGGAATAGGGAGGCCTGAGGGGAGGGAGAGAGATGGGGGAACAACCTGTTGGAGGAGCAGTCAGAACACATACAACACTTATCAATTAAGTTCACTGTCTTGCATAGGTGGGATCTGTGGCACCCCCAAAACAATTACAGTGGTAAATCAGGGATCATCACAAATCACCACAACAAATATAGTAATAATAGAATTTGAAATACTGTGAGAATTACCAAAATGTGACACAGAGACACAAAGTGAACAAATGCAGTTGGAAAAATGGCACTGGCAGGGTTGCCACAAACCTTCAATTTATTAAAAAATGCGTATCTGCAAAGCACAATGAAGTGCAGCACAGTAAAATGAGTTATGCCTACACATTAGAGGTTACCAGAGGCTGTGGGGAGGGGGAAATGAGGATTTCTTAATGGGTATAGCGTTTGTTTGGAGATGAAAATCTTTGGAAAAAGATAGTGGTAATTGCTGTACAACATTCTAATGCCACTATATTGTGTACTTACAATGGATAAAAATGGCAAATTAAAAAAAAAAAACAGTAAAAACAGAAGCATACAAAAAAACAACTTTATGAATTGTCCTGGATCCAAAAGATAGATTATGAAACATGTTAACAAGTAGTCTTTCAAATGCAATAAAGCATCAGATAGGATGGAGCCACTTCTATACACCTAAAGCAACATATTCAATGTGTGTTAACAACATCACTTGGAAGGAAAACAAAAAAGGCATCCTCTCTTACCTTTAAAACCATGTCAGTATAAGATGAATCGTAAGTGTTCAAGGTTCAAAATTTCTGAGTTTCAATTCTCTTCATTGCAAAGTTTTCAGGATCTGAATGGTGGTGCTCAAGTATCAAAAAAAGTATCAAATTCCTTAATACAATGAAGAAACATTCCTAGAACTTCCTAGGAAGAAGAATTTTATATAACTACTGGATATATTTCTTCACCTTTTATATGCAAGAATATCAAACTTATAGATAACTATAAGAAATTTGCAAAACATCATTTATATAACCTATGAAATGAAAAATCTGACAGCTTTATAATTGAGTACTATCCTATAAAATTACAGTAGAGATTATTAAATGAATGGCCAGCACAAATATAAATTAAGTATCATTACTGGCACAGTGAGACTTCATGATCTTAAAAATGAAACCCATAAAGGAAAATGATACCATTCTGCACAGCCTCCTTCCCCCAGAAAGAACTATGACTCAACAAAACCACATTTTAACAACATGAAGATCTTGTTATTATAAATTTCAAAACAAAACGGAGGAATTTCCACATAATATTTATAACCTTCAAAGTACAATATTAATACAGGTCTGTCAGTTAGAAATAACAGCAGTTTGTTAGGCTACAGGATTTAACATAAAACCAATTTACAAATGTGAAAAGCAGTAGTGGTCCAATATTCACCATTACACATGAATCTGTTTCTTCCAGAAAATTTTTTTTAAAAATTAAAATTTCTGTATCATGAAATATTAAAATAACACCCAAACATGCCACAATCACTATTCACAAATAAAGTTAAAATGAAATATACAAAAATTCACTTAATACTGTTAAATAACAATAAACTACAAGATTTCCTGAACAGAAATGGTAGGACCCCTGAATGTTTTACAGTGAATATCAGGAAAAAAAAATTAAGTTATGATTATTTTCATGATATATAAGCCAAAAATTTACATGACCATTTCAAAATATACCAATTAAGATTTGTAGTTTGTAAGATGCACTAAATGAATAGTCCCTAAAAGTTAACACAAATGCTTAAAACACTTACCAACACCAAGGTGTGTTTATGATGTTCAAAGAGATGCATAATTGAAACTGTAATATTTACTACCTCTGATAAACACATTAATACCTACAATGCTTTAAAACAATCCTCTAAGTTCTTGTTTCTCTCATTTGTATTTATCATGGCTCATTTCAAAGACATATTACAGCTTTTAGCTGATTCCAAGTGAATGTTATTAAAACATACATATACACACGCAGCTCCCCAAATGAAATAAATCACTCCCCAAAGAAGTATTATCCCTTCTAATAAAAGAATCGTATTTAAGACAAAAACAAGACCTCACATATTTCACTGGACTTGTATGGTTTAGTTTTAACTAAATTAAAGCACATTGTAAAATAGGTAAGTGTATTAGTATACACATATCCAATAATATGCAGTAAATATTTCTAAAATGAGGAAAGGTAAAAATAAATAATTTTGGTGCTTTAATTTACTGGTATCTAATGTGAGATCCCTATATCAGGTGTTCACTTGCTTGAATCAACTTCTGCATCACATGCTTTCCTAAACATATGTGCTCATCAATTTCTTAGCTACTCTACTTGCAGATGTTCAATAAAAAATTATATAGCATGAACTTAGAGTGTTCAAGATGGCTCACTTATTTTACTGTTAAGCAAAGCTAAATTTACATTCCAGGAAACACTGCAGTTTAATTTTTAAAACAAACAAGAAATGCAGCAGTAAAACAATTCGTGAGGAGAAACAGATGCATTCACATCTAATAAAGCCACTGCAACTTCTTCAGGCATTTAACTGTTGTGTTAAATAAACAGACAGTAGTTATTTAGCAGCAATGATTCCGCAATAAATAATGCACTGTGTTTCTCAGTCCTGCACAAAAATTGCAGCTACAGTTACATCAACAGCTGTAACCTACTGGCTCTAATGGCAGAGAAGACCTTAAAACCAACTGTACAAAAAAATTGTCACACTGTGACAACAAATATAAAAACAATCTGTAGGTCTGAAATAAAAAGACTCCACTGTGAAGAGGACAGTGTAGACAAACGGAGATTCCAAGTCCACCAAAAGAAATAATTGCCTTCAGATCTGAGTCCTTGATTGATAAGAAAGGCTGGGGGCTGGGCTTGAAACCATTTTATCAGACTTAAAAGAGCATGCTCTGTCTTCTGTTCTTCCCATGTCCTAAAATATAAAGTCATTTTATGAGGCAGTTCAAGGTTCAGTTTTATCCCACATACAGTATTTGGTGACTCTAGGAAGCTAATGTTCCCACCAGCAAAAACTAATGTTCCACGATAAGAGTGATCAGCACTGTCTTAAAGACCCTTTTGTTGATGGGGTCAGTCTATAGCTTCTATGCTTCGAAGTGATGAACCTGAAGACTAGGGAAGCACAAGGTGTGTCTTCTGCCTCAGGTACCAGGGATGGCGTGTGCAGTGATCAAGCCAGGCCACTTGTAAAAGGTCTTTGTGCCATCTGCAGCTTTCAGGATCCCTGACTTGACTGAGTCAGATTTCTCTCTGAAGAATTACTGAGCTGCCCACATCATACAGAAAAGTGAGTACGTGCAATGCTAAACATACAGTTGTGGAATGCACTGTACATTGGTTTTTACATCAATAATTTTACTGATCAAGTTATAAACCAAAAACGTGGTTCCACGCAAAATTTCATGATCGACACGTGAAATGGTTTATGACAAACACACCTGTCTCTGGATAAGAAGAGTTTCGAAAACCCGGGTCCTTTTGCAACTGAATCTCTTTCAAACTGAATATTGATACACCTAAAATGCATAGACAAAAACTATCAGGTGAAGGTCTAACATTATTAAAACAAATATAACCCAACTACAGACAGAATGTTTAAAAATGTATATTGATTCAACACGAAACATTTATGCTACATTTACAAGGTTACAGCCGTACTGAACTATTTTCCCCTTTGTCCCAGTGTTTTGAGAAGGAAACCAAACAAAATAATCTCCCCTCAGAAACTTTCCCCTACAACTCTGCTTTGAATAATGCTTCCAATATGTTTCTCCTAGAATATGTACACATAGAGAATATACACTGTCTCTTTCTAGGACTTACTGGGGTTGGGAGACCTAATCAAAAGGTATTTCTTGACTTTTATTCTCTCTGTCCTTTATGTCTCCTTATAATGGCAGAAGGTATCAGGGCCTCAAAATAACTGCAGATTTTCAGAAAAAAAAACAATAGGTTTGTACACAACCATAACTGCCTACCTCAAACTATGAAACTTGGGTGTTAATAATGAAATGTAAATATCATTTTTTTTTTTAAAGATTTTATTTATTTGACAGAAAGAGAGTACAAGCCGGGGAAGTGGATGGCAGAGGGAGGGAGAGGGAGAAGCAGGCTTCCCCGTCGAGCAGGGAGTCTGATGTGGGGCTTGATCCCAGAACCCTGGGATCGTGACCTGAGCCTAAGGCAGACGCTTAACCGACTGAGCCACCCAGGTGCCCCTGTAAATATCATCTTAAAAAAAAACACTTGTAATTCATCTTTCTCATTTCCATCTCTGCCAGAGAGGTAGTCTTTCATTAAAAAATATCCAGGTAAGTTCTAAGTGAAAAGTCTTAAGGATTCTTGATTCCAATTAGCAAACCTCAATGAATCAATATTCTTTAGTGGTAAATAAGAATGGGAAATTAATGAAAGCTTTTGGAATCTCAGTTCCTAAATATTCTAATTCCCCATTCACCTTACTCAGTTTTAAAGTAAAATGTTGGGGTAATCTTTTAAAAGGAGGTTATGAGTAAAATGAAGCAGTTAACTCAGGCATGAGAAATCAGCTCTTTTAGTGACTGACAATACACTCACCACTTTCATGAAGATAGTAAAGTCAGCGACCGTAGCAAAGAAAAATCATCTTTGTACCTTGAAAAGGAAATCTACTTTCACAAGAAAACAATTTTATGTTTTGGATGTGCTTCACTACTCTGCCTGAAATCCATTTTTAGAAACTCTGAATCAAAGCAATCAAGAATGGGCCTAATGACAATGTCTATCATCAGATGGCATTTTCCAATTTAAGTCTAATAAGATTAATAACCCATGCCTAAGTACTATTGATTTCTTACAGAGCAGTGGCAATGTGTTCAGTGTTAAAAAGAAACAAATTAAGGGGGTGCCTGGGTGGCTCAGTCAGTTGGGCGTCTGACTCTTGGTTTCAGCTCGGGTCAAGTTCTCATGGGTTGTGGGGTCAAGCCCCACTCGAGCCCCACGTTGGGCTCCAAGCTCAGCAGGAAGTCTGCTCGAAGATTCTCTCCCTCTGCCCCTCCCCCTACTCGCAGGGGCACGTTCTTACTCACTCACTTTCTCTAAAATAAGTAAGTCTTAAAAAAAAAAAAAAGAAACAAATTAAAACACATGCAAATCAGACACACTTCCCTTCAAGGAATTCTGATCTGGTTACAAAAAGACTAAAATTTTATGCTTAAAAACCAACAACGGGGCGCCTGGGTGGCTCAGTCGTGAGGCATCTGCCTTCGGCTCAGGTCATAATCCCGGGGTCCTGGGATCGACGCCATGTCGGGCTCCCTGCTTCGTGGAGAGCCTGCTTCTCCCTCTCCCACTCCCCCTGCATGTGTTCCCTCTCTTGCTGTGTCTCTCTCTCTGTCAAATAAATAAATAAAATCTAAAAAAAAAAACAAAAACAAACCAACAACAATCTCTTCCTAAACCCCTAATTCACCCCAGTCTCCAATACTGGACAAATGAAAATGGGGGGGGGGGGGTAAGGAGGACTTTAGAATTTCTCTTACTTTCAGGTAAAGTATGTATTCTTGGTCCCAAACTTCGAAAGTATACATGTTTCATGGCCTCTTCTGCTGAAACCCTTTTCTTAGATTCGTACTGTGAAAAAGCAAAGAACTGCTTCATTAACTTTTTCTCTAAACATTATGAGGGGAGGCAGATTAGCATTTAGAGCTACTTTTATCTTATTTATAATACAATGACTGCTTTTTAAGACCCAATTTGGAGTACACCAGATATACTCAAATGTGAGTTACTACTGAGATTATATAGTAATGACTATATCTCAGTTCCGATTTCCAAGATGAAGTTGGATATTCTAAAAATTTAGATTCCCTGTATTTTCTGAAGTGATAAAAAAAATTAAAATATCTGACCTTTGGCGTTCCTTTTCCTCATGAACACCAAAGGATCACTGGAAATATATCCAATACTTTTATGACAGATATTATTAAATTACCTATTGGATACCCATTTCCCTTTTCTCCTTGAGATAATCTAGATTTGTTTAAGGGGCCCATGCTTCCAAATCCAGCGGATCAATCATGAATCATAACTGTTTTAAGTTTAGGCTAACTATGATAATCCTGCTCCCCAATTCCCAGCCTCTCTTACTTAAATTAATGTTCTGGCCAATGAGACTTAGGATGAAGCTTTGCAGGGGTTTCTGGAAAAGCCTTTGCTTTCCAGATTCAAGTGGGTGATTATGGCTGACACCCTTATCCTCTCTTCTTACTGCTTTGAATAGAAGATATAAATGGTATTTGTAGGTGCAGCAGCCTCTAAGGCTGTAAGTATAAAGAAAAGAAAAAGAACATAAGAGAATATGAACTGCAGAGAACATGGCCCTGACATAGTTGATCAATGCCAGAAGGTGACGACCTCAGAGTTCTAAGTCACAATGAGAGACCCATACACATTAAGAGAAACCATCATTATTTTTTTACTTACGCATATGCCTTAAGCATGCCAGATACTACAATAATCTTATTTAACTGTCATGACAAATACTTAAGCATGTTATTATTGATCCCATTCTACAGATGCAGAGAAACTGAGGCTTAGTGATTACAAAGTAAGATGTAACTTACCTGAAGAAACTTTGTTATTAACTCAATTCCCTCAGAGTCTAACCTAAAAACAACAAAAAACAAGTGGTAATTTATTCTTTTATCTTAGCTGACAGCAACTTTTCAAATAAAACTATTTCCCTAATGTTTTAACCTGCTAACTTCAAATGCTCTAAAATAGCCACTCCTGTTGCTTTCAAATAGACTCAAATCTGTTTTATCCGTAAAAACTTACCTTGCTACTTGTTTAAGAAGAAACTATAAAAAACTGGGCTTTGACTCAAATTTTCAATAATGAAGAACAAATTAGATAATTAAAGAATTTTTTAAAATCACCATTTTGTCTCAAAGTAACCCTTATTATCACAAAAGCTGAAGTTACGTGTATCATTTTCATACTGTTCCACTACAGGCAAGATACAAAAGCACCATTTTCTTACTGTATAGGTGAAAATAAAGACAAGTAACTCCGAATGTATCACTGTGGTTCACAATAAACACAGATGACTCATTCAACATGTTTTTACAGGGTAGTCTATGGAGAACTGGGTACTAGAACCTATCAAGTTCAATGTAAATATGCCACAATGACATCATAAAACTTAATTAAAAATCAGGGCTACAAAATCAATGAGGTAATCAATAAAGATGATAATTATAGTGATGAAATCCATTTAGTAAGTAAGTAGAGGGTTTGGGGACTATTTTAATGGGACAATCTCTTGATCAGAAATCACAGGTTCTATTTTGCATGCCTTTCACTGGCAAAAAGTACAATTATGAATAAAGAAATATTTTCCCAAGTGCTCTTAGTGGGTATGTGGATGCTGTAGCCTAGACATTCTCCAGACTAATCCTTTGTAGTTTGCCATTCTGACAAATATCCAGAGCTCCTTGGGCACAAACAAACTAGGGGCTAAGGTCATGGAGAACCTGCTTTAAAGAAGAGATTCAACCTTCTGCACTGGACACTACAATAGTAAGCAACATATAAATGACAAAAATAGGATTTATGCTATTTAGAAGGAAGAGATACACACAAAAAGCCCTGCACATAGTATTATTCTGCCTAAGAAAGTCTACTTAGAATGTTATCAGTTGCTATGGTAACAATAAGAACATCAATTCACATAAATACTTTAAAAATGTTTTTGGTACCAGAACTGTTTTTTCTACTCTCTCTAGCTTGAGAATAAATGGAACTAGAGCCAAGTGTGTTACGTCATGAGCAATGTGAATGTCTTTTGATTAAAAGACACTGACCTTATTTGGTATCTGAGTGTACTCTATTTTTTTAAAGGAAACATGAAAAACACAGTCAAAGGGGTTAGTCTTTGTTACTTACTGAAAATGTAATAATTCCATAAGTAGAAATGTTCTGACTGAAATTTTAATGGGGGTTTTAAATGGATCTGGGGGTAGATCTGAGAAACGTTAATGAAATGACCAACATTTAGGATATGAGGGGTCAGAAAGAGTTTACATTCTTCAAATACAAATCATGTCATTAACATTGGCCAAATACTGATGGGTCATCTTGGGTCAGAGTCAAGATTTTACTTATAACACTTAGGTTTTTGTAAGTAAATACAGAATAATTTCATAGGAAGCAAAACAAAAATTTTATCACGGTCTTCATGGTACTGATTACGGCATTAACCAATGTCTTCTTTCTGAGAGAGGGAACAATCTACATAAACTCTAGAATTCTAATATGGATGTTCTATATTCATTTTATTTATAGCTCGGTTCTATGATTTACGTATCTTGGTCTCGGAGTTATAAAATTAATCTGACAAAAGGAAGAAAGAAATTCATTCAGATTCAAATCAGATCCTAAAATATTTAAGAACTCTGTATGTGTATTAATATTTTTCCCTGAATCCTTACTGCAGCTAATGCTTCAAGAGACTGGAAAGAATCATGTGGGTTTTCCCCCTTTAACTTAAAGAAAAAGAAAAAAAATACCTGGGTGCATGGTTAATGAGAGGCTGTGGTTTGTATTTTGGAAAGTTGTAGTTCTTGAACTCATCATTTGAAGAAACACCTGGCCAAGTTTCCTGAGATGGTGTTCCTGAATTAAAAAAAAATTTTTTTTATTTGTAAACATATAAAAACTTATATATACACAAATATATATAAATAAGGAGAACTAAAAGTGTCTTAAAGAACAATTTACATTTAGTAGCTGATTTTACTATTTCAACTGAAAGCAAAATGACAGAAATAGTAAACACATACTGACTTTTTTTGGGATTATGCAATGATGCCATAAAAATGCCATAATGCCTAACTGATACCTAACCTAGAAATATTTCCTAATAATATGCTAAAGGTCAATTTTCAACAATATTTCTCTTCTCTGTTCTTGCATACAATTTTTAATGCAAAGGCAGAACTTAGTAAATGAAAAAGAGAAGTTATATAGAAGGCTCTATCTTTATAATTATGCTGATTATAATTCTTTTCTTTGTAATCAGGTTTTTTTGTTTTTTTTTTTTTAAGATTTTATTTTTAAGTAGTCTCTACACCCAACATGGGGCTCGAACTCACAACCCATAGATTATGAGTCACCATGCTCCACTGACAGGGCCAGCCAGGTGCCCCAACTAATTATAATTCTTATAACAGCTATCTTAGTCTTAGTACCAAATTTTTAAATATATATTTTTAAATATATAGTCTTATCTAGCTAGTCACAATTGCAGGAAACAAATTACTGGGAAAATATTTGTTACCTAGCAGTCGGAAAATCAAGTGCAATTCATCTTCCACAGTTGATCCTGGAAACAGAGGTCTTCCAGAAGCCATTTCAAAGAAAATGCAACCAACACCCCTTTAAGATACATCATAAAAAAATGATGAGCAATCCATTTACATATTATGAAGGACAATTATCTTTTCCTTAAGATTGCCTTTGGAGATGGAGAATTTTGTATCAGTCAGCTAGAAAACCTCCTACAGAGATTTTTTTCAGCTCCAACTAAGCTAATTTGTCAATATGTATCCTATTTGTCTCTACTTCCATGTTGCTAGATCCACTCCTCCATCTCCCCTCCTCTGCCCTGCCTTAAAATGTCCAGCTCTCCTCTGTATGACCCTTGAAGAAAAACATACCAATAGCTAATAGTGATTTAATGCCTATTACATCTTAGTGGGTAGCAGGGATAGGGAGAAGCAAATGATTCAAGATACTTTTATGCAGGAAGCAGAGATAGAACATATAGGTGCAAGATGGTGAGTGTGTATGAGAAGGAAAAGAAATGTATGGGGATTCAGTGAATAAATACTACCTTCTAGAATCTGTGTCAATACCCTTAAGACACAGTCCCTTCTGTTAAAGGGCTCACAATCTAACCACTGTATGTAAAATTTTACATATTAAAATGGTATACAAAAAGTTACAATGATGGAGCCACTATGGAAAACAGTATGGTTGTCCCTCAAAATAATTTAAAATACAATTACCATATGATCCAGCAATTCTACTCCTAAGTATATACCCAAAAGAACTGAAAGTAGAGTCTCAAAAACATATTTGTCACCTACAGCCATAGCAGCATTACTCATAATAGCCAAAAGGTAGAAACAACCCATATGTCCACCAACAAATGGATAAACAAAATGTAGCATACATATACAATGATTATTCAGTCTTAAAGATGAATGCAATTCTGACTATATCTCTACAACATGGATGAAACTTGAAGACATTTATGCTATGTGAAATAAACCAGTCACAAAAGGACAAATACTAGATCATTCTACCCATACGAGGTGCTTAGAAATGTCAAATTCACAGAGATGGAAAGTAGAATGGTAGCTGCCAGTGGCTGGAGGGAGGAAGAAATGGGGAGTTGTCTAATGGGTATGGAGTCTCAGTTCTGCAAGATGAAAAAAGTTCTGGAGTGTTAAGGTTGCACAACAATGTGAATACTTAATGCCAAAGAACTGTACAACTAAAATGGGTTAAAATGGTAAGTTTTATATTATGTATATTTTACCACAATTTAAAAAATAAGTTTAAAAAATGTTATACAAAATTATATATAATTGTTCAATGCAAGACAACAGGAGGAAGCGTATGACTTATCATTGCATTATATAGTCAATAAATGCAACCACATTTCAGAGGAAGGTTATTTGTCACTGGATGCTAGATTGTATTCAGAAAGGATTTATGAAAAGCTCTGTTTTGAAAGTTCCTAGGCACAGAGACGCATAGTAGACATTCCAGATGTGTGGACTAGTATGAACACAAGTGCAAAGGTAGGAAAGCCCAGGTTATTTCTGAGATATGGTGAGTAACCACTTGGCTAAAAGGGAATATTTATATAGAGGAACAGTCTAATATAAGTTGGAAAAGATAGTTCAGAGACGTTTTATGGAGATCATTAAGTATCAGATTGATGAATTATATCTTACTCAATAGGTAATGAATGGGGAAGCAACAGAGGTATTTGAGTAAACGAATGTCATGATCAGAGTGGGATATGAGGAAGATGGCTACAATATTTTTTTATTCTTAGACTAAGGCCAAGTGGATTTTTATGAATATTAAATGATGATAAGAATAATTTTATTTTAGGGACGCCTGGGTGGCTCAGTCGGTTAAGCGTCTGCCTTCGGCTCAGGTCCTGATCCCAGGGTCCTGGGATCGAGTCCCGCATCGGGCTCCCTGCTCTGCGGGGAGCCTGCTTCTCCCTCTGTCTCTGTCTCTCTGTCTCTCATGAATAAATAAATAAAATCTTTAAAAAAAAAAAAAAAAGAATAATTTTATTTTAAACTATGATGTACTAAACATTCTTCTAAATGCTTTGTATGTATTAGGCTCACTTGGTATTAACATTATCCACAGAACAGCCTTTTAAAGTAGTTATTGTTACTATTCCCATTTCTTTAAATGAGGAAACTGAGGCAAGTCCAGTAATTTGAATAAGGTTATTATATAGTTATAAGTGGCAGAACTGGTAAACCTAAGTGATCTTACTCATGTGTCAAAACTTTTAATTATTGCTTATATTGTTGCTCTTTATTTTTTTTTTAAAGATTTTATTTATTTATTTGACAGAGAGAGGGAACACAAGCAGGGGGAGTGGGAGAAGGAGAAGCAGGCTTCCCGCTGAGCAGAGAGCCCGATGTGGGGCTCGATCCCAGGACCCTGGGATCATGACCTGAGCTGAAGGCAGATGCTTAAACAACCGAGCCACCCAGGCGCCCCTATTGTCGCTCTTTAAAGTATTATCTCCTTAAAAGTCAAATATCTCTCAGTGTGCTGTGTGAACAGCTACATTCTTTCAAAATTATAAATGGCAATAACATTTGCATGTATTTACCACATGTCAATCTGTGTCGAGTACTCTGAAGAACCGAGAAGCACATCAGGTGGCCGGTACCACAGTGTGACGACTTCATTGGAGTAGGTCTTCGTGGGAACTGACTTGGCTCTGGCTAGCCCTTCATAGGGAAAAGAAAACAATTAAGAAATGGCTATAAAGGATTTCCCAACCCTTATCTTCACCATGACTTCAGTCACAAGTTTTTTTTTTATGTCTGAGACAGCTACTGTCTAGTTTCCTGAAGTTTAAAAAATCAGTTTTATGAATTTTTTTTGAGTGTGCGTGGTGGTCTTGGGTAAGCAAATCTTTATGTAATTAAATAGTAACAATTCCACAATCAGAGACTATGTTTATTTTTATGCATGTGAATGCACCTGATACAGTGTCTGGGTTAATCTAAACTTAAGATACTTGCTTTCAATGAATCATGGTGCCAAAATTATTTCCAAGTGGAACTTAAATTAATGCTAAATAGGCCAATGAGACAGAGAGTTTTACTTCTTATAGCTATAGGCTTGTTACCTTTTTTAACCTGATTCCAACTTTCATTTGCTATACCAATCTTAGTTTTCTTAGACTAAATTACACTGCTATTGTGTACTTTAAGTTTGAAGTCATATTTAAGGATAATTTTAAATAAACCGGACCATGCTGCCTTTGGCTATTATTAATGTAAATGATGAAAACCCTGTGCCATTTCTTTGCCAATTTAAAATGGAATTCACTGGTTATCCAGAAATAAAGGCAAGAGTTACAACTTCATCTCTTTAGCCACTGGCATGAGAGTTGTTTTTACTATCTCTAAGCCTCCAAACTCTGATCACTTGAAGAAGCAACTCTAAAAGATACCTGAAGAAATATAAATTTATTCTAACATGTAGTTTATTTCAAATAACAAGGAATAGTTCATTTTTAGGCTGTGATTTGTTATGTATAACTTTATATATTTGATTAAAATATTAAATATGAAAAATGTCATAAAAGGATAATTCAATCCTTTATTAAACTGGATAAAAGCACTCAAAACCAGAACTTTAAATAGTTAGGCAGCACTCACATTATTTTTGTTTAGTATAAACAAAAAGCTAAACGGTATAACTGGAACAATGTTGACACTAGCTTATTTATAATTACAAGTCTTACTCTACCAACCCAACTTGATAAAATAAGTTCAACAAATTATTTTCCTACCAACTTTGGTAATTAGCAAGATGTGGACAGCTTTCTAGTATCTCTTCCTGATATTAATAGTGGGTTATGTGGGAACAAAAGACAGGGCCACAAGTTTGCTTATTCTATAACCTATAAGCATAGCATCAAAGCAACTGCAAGTTACAGTTTCCTCAGTACCTTACTCTCCTGCTCCTGAGAGAATTCTGAAATAGGGTGCTTGTTCAAACAGACTCCTGGTTCACAATTAGTATTTCAGTATTGGTATGAAAAGAAATAATCTCTTTTTTTTTTTTTAAAGATTTTATTTATTTGATGGAGAGAGAATGAGAGAGAGAGCACATGAGAGGGGGGAGGGTCAGAGGGAGAAGCAGACTCCCTGCCGAGCAGGGAGCCCGATGCGGGACTCGATCCTGGGACTCCAGGATCATGACCTGAGCCGAAGGCAGTCGCTTAACCAACTGAGCCACCCAGGCGCCCAGAAATAATCTCTTTTAAACCAAATTAATTGTGATATGGTATAATTATAGAAGCCATTTTCTATTATTAATGAAAATGTTTGGGGGCGCCTGGGTGGCTCAGTCGTTAAGCGTCTGCCTTCGGCTCAGGTCATGATCCCAGAGTCCTGGGATCGAGCCCCGCATCGGGCTCCCTGCTCCGCGGGAAGCCTGCTTCTCCCTCTCCCCCTCCCCCTGCTTGTGTTCCCTCTCTCGCTGTGTCTCTCTCTGTCAAATAAATAAATAAAATCTTTAAAAAAAAAAAAGAAAATGTTTGTCTATATTAGTACTTCCCTAGATCTGAATTTCATCAATCACAGGAAAAAGGAGAGAATTTTCAAGATCAATTTACAATAAAATACTCAAAGTTATATGACCCTCCTTTACTTGCAGTCCTTAAGTATATTTACTACACAACCAATAAAAAATAAATAACTAAAAGCAGAGACAAAACTGATTGTACTATCTCATGGAATAATCAGAATTTCTTGTTGGCCTGTGAAAAGATAAATTCGCTTGGCTTGTTTTGTTAGAAGCAAAATTTAAAGCACTCACAGCATTTCCCCCCAAAAGTAAATTTTTCATTTCTAATAGCCAAGCAGGGTTCCTCTATCACTGCTATTCATTTTAGGATTAACGACTAAGGACCAGTAAATGCAGCTCAGCAAAACAAAACAAAACAAAACAACAACAACAACAAAAACCAAAAGAGAGAGAAAATAACAATTATAAGGAAAGTAACAACATAAACTGTGCCCAACAGACTGTATAATGTACATGAGCATATGCAAATAACTCATAAGTTTAAACACATGTGACCTATACCCGTTTCCTTTTTTTAAGGAAGGAACAATACTAACCTACTTTCAAATAGTAAAGTTAAATGAGTAAAAGTATAGGAATTTCCTGAATAAACTCACCACTTAGTGAGTTTTTAATTATTAACAAAGCAATACTTGAAACACTTATATTTTCAAATTTAGTGCAATACTCCAAAAGTAAATATCACTTATGAAAAATGATGAAGTGCTAATTGTAAAAACTGCACTGGCTTTTTAAAACCACGTTCTATTAGAGTACTGAAACTCTCAAAATGTGGAATATTAAAAAAAAAAAAACCAAAAAAAAAACAAAGCTACTATACAAAGTTTCTTTAATGTAAAAAAATTTACTTCCTAGAAGCAAAAGGAACATGTAATCTCATTAAAATTGGGTTAGCTAAAGAGAGACAGATAAATAGCATTAATTAATTAGTTAATAAGCATATAAATACAAAGTCATGGTGGCAAGAATATTAAAGAACCACCTTGCAGTAGTGGCATTTAAACTCTTTAGTCTCAGGACCCCTTTTATCAAAATTTAAAATTACTGAGGACCCAAACAGCTTTTATTTATATTGACTGATATTTGCCATATTAGAAAAACTGAGAAAAATTTAAAACTTATTCATTAAAATCACCACTTATTATATATTAACATGAATTTTTATGAAAAAGATTTTTTCTAAAGGATAATAAAAATCAGTACAAATGGTCTTTATTCAAATTTTTGTAGTCTATTTTAAAAGAAGACTCTTAGATTCTCACAACTGCTTTTGCATTCAATCTGTTGTGATATGTTGCTTTGAAGTATAGGAAGAGAATGAGATCTCACATAGATACGAAGTTGGAAAGAGGAAGAGCAAACAGCCTTTTCTGAAAATTGTGCATATTCTTCTTTGACACTACATCAGATTTAATTTCTTAAACATTATGTGGTAACTGAAATTATATTAGTAAACTTCTCATACTCTTGTTACATTAAAATTCACTGGTCTATCTTGTACTTTAAGTGGATCTTTTACCCATGCATGATTCTGTAGTATCATGTAAGTACTAGTCATTTGGAAAATATTGATTCCCTAGGTTATACAGATATTCCAAATGCCTACAGATTTCTAAACATATAAAAAAAACCCATATTTGTTAATATCACCACTGATCTCACCAGTAAAGTCTTTTAAGTATGGAGAAAATATCGAGCTCAAAGCGGCAGATCCAAATTTCCAAAATTTAATTTTTGCTTGAAAACTCAAACCTCTCTTTTGGCAAGAAATACTTTCAGTTGTTTTCCTTGAAGTGATAGGCTCACTTATTTCCAAGAAAACGTGCGCCAAAATACCTAAGTCTGAGTACCCATAGTTGGTCCGTCATTTTTTTAAGTAAAAATGATGTTCTTGAAAAAAAGGGTTAATTCAGTTTGCATTCACATAAACACTATTCCTTGAGATAACCACAGTATTTCCATGTATAGCAAATGGGTTTTATACATACTTCTCATTTCATTACATAAAATACTAAAAAGACATGTACTTAAAGGTGGAGATTTAATAAAAATGAGTTAGTTTTACTACTTCATCAAATATCTTTTTATATGTAACTGACCCTTTTTCCCTCCAAGTGTATATAGTGGTGAAGAACACAATGACTACTAAGTACAATTTGTGCCACTGCCTTAATTTATATTAATGCACAAACCAGTAGCTTTACCCTTAGTGCTTCTGGACTATCACTGCAGGTATTAACACAGTGAAAAAGGCAAGTAACATTTAGTGTAATTTTGATAAAATACACCTTTGGAGATGCCCTGAAAGGGTCTCAGGATGCTTAGGGGTCTAAAGACCACACCTGAGAACTGGTGCCTTTTGGCCTTCATGAACATAACTCACCCACCAAGGTTTTATCCAGTATCTTATTCCATGGGCTACAGAGAAAATTTCCAAACTCACATAAAAGCAATCACACAGTTGTTCTTATAACTGTAACCACCTGGAACTATTTATAAATATCTTACACATCCATACCAAAATCGGCTAGCTTTAATTCTCCTTTTTCATTAATGAGTAGGTTCTGTGGTTTCAAGTCTCGGTGCAACACCTTTCTTCTGTGGCAATACGCCAAACCACGGAGAATTTGGTACAGAAACAGCTACAGAAACAAATGAACAGAAATTAGTCTTACAAGTAATAAGACAATCCTTTGGTAAGCATGTTACGGTAAACAAAAAGCAACTGGCCTGGAAGAGTCAAAGAAAAAAAAAACCCGCATCCTTAAGTACAAAGCCTTTCCTGATATAGTTGTTCTCTGAATTTTACAATTTATTATTTTATTTGAAGCATCTACCTATTTTTCTAGTCTGACAATTTCTATGAAAATAAATATTAAAAATAAAGTGAAATGAAACTCTGCATAGTAATAGTCCATTTGTTACAGAAAATGATTTAAAATAAATATATCCTCATAAGCTCACAGGCCTACTAAGGCTTACAATCTGATTATGATATTCTGGCAAAACAACTAACCAACATCTACCCCCACCCGCCAAAAAAAACCTGATCTGGGACAGTGTTGTTAAAATAAGGCATTGGAACTGGTGGTTTTATAAAAATTCTGAGGTGTCAAAGAAAATGGTGCTGCATAGGCTCTGGCAAATTACGTGCTATAAAAATAACCTAAACCAGCTTCTATCACCCACCCTCTGGGTACTTTACTTTCTGCACCTCCTACTCAGCCTTCGAAATCTGCTATGATTCAGAAAAGGGAATTAGCACTGTAGAGCTCTGAATGACTCTCTGAAAAAAGCAATTCCTATAAAGCTAATGGTACACTTTTTTGTACATTTTGGTAGAAAAGGGGATGTGGAACAGAGAAGGTCTTCAATTCTCTGGAGTTGACGAAAAAGAGCCTCAAGTACAGAGGATTCAAGAATGTATCTTCAGCTTACATGTAGGTGAAAAATAGAGCATTAGGACATTAAGAATAAGCCAAGGCAGGAAGCTGAACAACAGGCCTGAAGAAATTCTAAGCAGCAGTTTCCACACACTACACATTTATATGTTTTGAAAACTCTAAAATTACTATTTCTATATATTCCTGTTCCTTTTTATGTCTGAAAAATATAAGGGCTATTTAAAATGACACACTAAAACATACCTTTACATTGTGCATACTCATGATGTTTCCACAGTCATCCATGTACTGTTTTAGGTCTTTATCCTGAAAAAATACAGTACTTTACTATGTGATATGTGATACATACTTCTCAGAAGGCACGGGTGATTTACTTTTAACAGTATATAATTTTTAAAAGTTTTTTTTTTCTTGGGGAAAAGATATTGAATGCACAACACATAATTTAATTAAATACCAATAACTAAACAGCAATGCCCTGGAGCTGTGAACTCAATTTCCTATGTTTCATTATAGCAAAAGTAAATACTGAATTTTCGTTAAATGCTTACCAGATACTCAAAAACCAGAGTCAAAGATTTATCTGTATGAACAATATCATGTAAGGTTACTATATTTGCATGTTTTAGATCCTTTAATAGTGAAACTGCAAAAAAGAAAAGAAAGTCAATTATTTAGTCTGTGGTAGCCAGACTATAAAAACCTGAAGTTTACCACATGAACTGAGTGTAAGATTCTCTTCAGTGTAAAACAAAAATTCACCAATCGGATCTGTAGTATAAATTTTAATAGAATCATTTTTTCTTTTATTTAATGGCTTTGGGCTTGTTTTTAATACTTAAAACTATTCCCAATGTTACAGTAATATTCTCCATAACATCATCTTCTGTTTTTTCTCAAATATTAACTTATTGAGACTTACAAGATTAATTTAGATATAGTTTAAGATACCATTTTTTTTCCTCCAAATTGGTCATGAGTTGCTTCAAGCCATTTTCTGGATAATCTAGCTTTAAAAAAAAATGGTATCATGGTATTTACATTCTGTATATATCAATTTATAGTTTGCTTTTCCCCATAGATAATATATAACATTTCCCAATGTCAAATATTTTTCCATGACAATAATTTTTAATGACTTCATAGTATCTCACTATAAACTATACAATAATTAATACTGTTAAATATTTTGACTTTAAAAATTAGTTTTAATGTCTAAATATATCTCCCAGTCCTCTATATCTGAGCTCTTTCCTACTTACAAAAAAAATGAATTCTTGTTATGCAGCTTTGGTTTTAAAACATTCTATATAAACTCTTTTATACATTCTGCTCACAAAGATCTAATTTTACCTTCTCTTATAGCTGTACAGGGTGCACCTTCTTCATGTTCCAACCGGATCTCTTTTAATGCCACCAAATTCTCTGTCAATTTACTTCTTCCTTTATATACTGTCGCATATGTACCCTATAAAATATATTTTTGAAAGACACATCAAAATATCCTAAGAGTCTATCTATAGCATCTCTACAATAAAGAGCCCTAACTAAATTCCTAATTTGTAAGCATATGTTAAAGTCCATTTTTGCAAGGAAAACTCTACAATGATTAGTCTCGGTTTTCTTATAGCTAAGAGGACTTTCAGTAGTACCATATGCAGAGCCTCCATATTCTTATAACCCTATGGAGTGCCTCAAAGTATGAAAACATAGAATATTTGATTTACTTTTTATACTTTTTATCAGATTAACAACTGGATCAGTAGCTTTAGAGTCAAAGGTACTTTACCTGCAATGGTATGTGGACTTTGAGGCAACTAAGTGAGCATATTAACTGAAAACTGAAAATGTAACTGACATAATGTTAAATCAGAAAAATTTTATCAGTTCTCAGACTTTTCAGAATTTGTGTACATTCACTCTCCTTTAAAGAACAAATACATTCTACAGGAGAGTTCTACCATTGCCAAGATAGCCCACAAATTCTCTTAAGCTTCCCTGTTAGCTAATTCCATTATTTTCTGGCTGGTCCTTTCTCACCCTGGAAGACAGACCACTTCAAAATTAGTCAGTACCCGTATCAAGTTCAAGAAAACCAAGGACTTCTCAGCCAAAAATTTCCTTAACCTTCAATGAGATGTGTCTTTATCTTTAGAGATAAAATTTTGATTTTTCGCAGGTTTGAACTCATTCAATTTCCCACATGATGGCCAGGAGGCTAATAGATGCCTATATTGTGTTACCAAGAAAGCACAATATTTTTTGCTTTAAAAGATTACAAGCTATAAAAAATACTCATTTCCTCTCAAATTGATAGCATAATTTCAAGAACTGAAGGTTTTCTTCCAACATTCTGTTGCCTTTTTGGTACAAGATATAATCTTTAGACAACAGTGTTTACATTTGTTTTCTAGGCTGGTAGAAACTGTGGACTAATTGTGGAGTTTGGATAATGAACAAGGAAAAAGAAAGGTGTTTTATATTTTTGAAATAAGTATCTGCTTACCTCTCCAAGCTTTTCCAATTTGATATAGGTTTCCATTTTTCCAAACCCAATTTCTGACTGAAAGCAAACAATAATAAATTTAGTATTCTTAAAATTTCAATCCATCTCTTCCTCAATTTCTTTTTTTTAATATTATTCTTTTTCTTTTTAAAGGAGTGCACTTTATTTTTATTATTTCTTTTAAGGTAAGCTCCATGCCCAACATGGGGCTTGAACTCCCGACCCCAAGATCAAGAGTCGCATGCTCTACCGACTGAGCCAACAGGTGCCCCTCTTCACCAATTTCTGAAACTTTCCTGCTCTAACGAGTGTCTTGAAATAGAAAAATCTGATTATAATTAAATTGTTGAACATCTGTCAAGTTTTAAAATTCACCCAATGTTGGAACATTCAAGGTTCTAAAACATCAAAGTTCACAATTAAAACTGCCAAACCATCTTTTTATATAGATTGGTTAACATTCTGCTAAGAAAAAATGTTTTACTTTAAGGCCCTGAGATTTTAAGATACCACAAGCATTTTAAGATACTGAAGAATTTTATAAAAGACAACTACATGATTTTCTTTCTAGCAAAACTGCAAAGTAAGTAATTTTCCTACATATTTTCCTTCACCAATTTTCGACTTCTCTAGGACGGCCTGCAAACAACAAAATACTACTTGCTTCAGGTTTTCTAACCAAAATGCAATGAAAAAGACAAGTGCAAGTCACACTCCATTACGGATCAGGAAACTAACACAGAAGTAGTAAGTCTAAATCTGACACCCCCACCCTTTCCCAAAAAGTCTTTAAAAGTAAGTTCTCAAAACCATTGCTTTTAAACCTGGAGCTTGTTTGCCTCACTTCTGTATGGAATCAATAAATGAGGTAGATGGAATACACCCAAATATGTAATGGAAACCTAATATTTAAAAACTAAAAACAAAAAGCCTCAAAAGATTTAAGAAAAAAAATACAGAGATGAAAACTTAGGGATTGAGAGAGCAGCAACAGAAAAAAGATAAACAACAGAGGAGTAAGAATCTTCTTAAAATTGCTCTCTCGTATTCCTTTGTAGATCGTGGAAAAGGCAATAATCTAAAGATTCACTTCTCACTGAGTGTGGTGCTCATGCCCTTAAATGAATAGCCAGTGAAAAGAAACAACGTTCTTTTATACATAATCTCAGCTCTCAAAGTTATATAAATAATACTGGATCCTAAAATACTATGTTTTAGTCCAACTGTGAAGGTTCAAATATGCAATTTTTCCAGAGGTGTTGAATAAAATAAAAACGGTACTTGACAATTTGACTTAACATCACTTACCATTTTGAACAGTTAAACTGCCCAAAGTTGAAAGGCCAAAAATAGCACAGGTCCCTCAAATAGACTGTTATCTTTTTTTAATTAAATTTTATTGTTTTTAGTAAAGCATAGTTGACATTTTTTATCCTTTTGTTATAATGATTTATATCCTCTTAAAAGCCATGAGGAAAACTGTATGTCCAATAATACTTAATTCAACTTTGCTAAACTAATAAAAACTTTGCTCATAGGTGGTATTAATGGATGACTGCAAGAATTTTGGGAATCTTTAAAGTTTTTCTCACTATGTGGTATTTTCAAGCAATTTTATTTAAAAAATGTGATTTGGGAACTGTCACACACCATCCACCCATGTGCACTGTCTTATATGTGACTGAGAGATACTAAGTCCTTCCTATTATCAATAACTATGCAGAATAATAAGGTGAAACTACAGTAGGTAACACTTTCCAATTACAAATGGAGAAATGGAGTTTAACTTTAATACAGAAAATGTGGCAAATAGCCCACTATTTGGTACATGAGAACCTGATCCTGAATAATCTTAGTGTATGTATGTTTTATTTATAGCCTATTTAGATAGGATCTTAAATAACTACTTTGAAAAGACTGCCAGTGTCACATAGACTACAGTAGAATGTGTTTATTTTCTTATACCTATCTCTAGAATTCATTAAAATCACAAATATGGAACTACTACACTTCTGTCATGAATTTTAAGTCTTGTGTCATATCTTAAATGAAGGGAAAAAAACTGTATTGATAGTAAATGGAAACTAATATAAACAAAACAACGAATGTCCTGAGAAAAATAAAAATATCACCTATAATAATGAGAACCACAAAGAAAAATACGACTGCAAGCTAGAAACTTTTTCTCATCAAGAGTTGGGAAATTTTCTTATTCATTCTTTTATCTTAAGTAAATAAATACTAGCACTCCTTTAAAACATCAAATATACTTTGGTCCAATAGTCCAGTGGCTATGACAAAAATGCTGATAATTTGCTTTAAAGAGTATGTAAGTGGACTACAAATTCACTGTAAAGATAAAAATGTTATACAGATTACCGTATCATATGAAGTATATAAGGAATAAACTAATGGATGATCAAATATTAATATAACAAAGTCTTCAGAGAATGACATTTAGTGAGATCATTAAAATATGCTGAAAGTCTACTTTTTATTTTATTTTTTTAAAGATTTTATTTATTTATTTGACAGAGAGACAGCGAGAGAGGGAACACAAGCAGGGAGAGCGGTAGAAGGAGAAGCAGGCCTCCCACTGAGCACGCAACCAACATGGGGCTTGATCCCAGGACCCTGGGATCATGACCTGAGCCGAATGCAGATCCTTAACGACTGAGCCACCCAGGCGCCCCGAAAGTCTGCTTTTCAAAAAGGTAAATACTGTACTATAATTATAAAGTTTCATTTAAATTTGAATAATCAATCTATAAGATAAAGAGCATTACTGAATTTCATCATGCAGTCAGGGAGAGAATTCAGACAAAAGGCATAGTTATACGAGTGAAATTATCTGCCAGAATAAAGTGTAACCACCTCATTTAATAATTTCCAGCCTTAAGGCTTTAATAATTACATGTAAATATTACTTACTGAATCTTTAAATGAAATTTTTAGAAAATTTTGCTTGCATTTTTATCTGCTGAACATGACAAGATTAACAATAGATATAATGACTAGCTTGTTGACATGTTCTCCTACAGAAATTATTCAGAGGACAGAGGACAAAGTTCATTTATCCAACATTTACCAAGTACAATGCTAGGTACTAGGGATATAGTGAAGACGACAGAAATGATTCCTGCTTTTGTGAGTTCACAATCTAGACTGAGTTCCATCATTAGATTATTTTACAATAGTTTAAAAGTTTTATAAAAACAGAAATAGCTAAAGGAATCAAACAGTAAGCTTTATATTATATTTTATTTTTTAAAGATTTATTTATTTTAGGGGCACCTCGCTGGCTCAGTCATTAAGCGTCTGCCTTTAGCTCAGGTCATGATCCCAGGGTCCTGGGATCGAGCCCCACATCGGGCTCCCTGCTCAGCGGGAAGCCTGCTTCTCCTCTCCCACTCCCCCTGCTTGTGTTCCCTCTCTCGTTGCCTCTCTCTCTGTCAAATAAATAAATAAAATCTTAAAAAAAAAAAAGATTTATTTTAGAGAGAGAGACAGAGTGCAAGCACAAGCAGGGGGAGGGGCCGAGGGAGAGGGAGAGAATCTCAAGCAGACTCCCAGCTGAGCACAGAGCTGAACTTTGGAGCTCAATCCCACAACCCTGAGATCATGATCTGAGATGAAATTAAGAGTCAGATGCTTAACCAACTGAGCCACCCAAGTGCCTCAACTTTATATTTTAATAAAATATAAAAATCTCCTTAATTCTACTTTCCAAACAAATGAAGATAGTTTTTTGTTATTTTACTGCTCCAAGAGAATACCTGGCTTTTTTGGCAGCCCCAATCAAATTCCTGTTCAGATGACTCTTATAGCATAAGCACATGAAAACTTTTAAAAAATGCAAAATAAATTATAATTTATAATAGCCTTTCTATAATTAAATGTAACCTGCATATGATATTGAGCACTATGGGAGATTTCTGGATTACTCTAGCTCTGCCAACACAATCACTGTATCATAGTTGTAAAGATTTTTTTCCCAAGTTTTTATTTAAATTCTGGTTAACATATAGTGTGATATTGGTTTTAGGAGAATTTAGTGATTCATCACTTACATGTAACACCCAGTGGTCATCACAAAAGTGCCCTCCTTAAGAGGTATTAACATGCTAGCAATGCAGTCTGAGCTTAAAAACAAATGAAGTATGTGCAGAAGTTCTATAGATGCCATACTAAAAGTGAATGCATATATAAGAAACACAGGGGACAAAGGGAGATTTTTTTCAAACATCCATTTCCCTCCTTGTGAGATCATGGAGTTACTGTTACTGTTAGAAATGTCCGGGGCAGAAAAGAGATTGAGAACCTTTATTCTATTTGCTAATTTTGTGTTCCAAAAATTATTGTTACCATCAGTATGATACGATCTTAATTCTGTACATAATATACCAAAGGTAAATTAAATTGTGAGTGGACTTTGAGCCTCACTTCCACACTCCATGATATATTTACTATTTCTAAGAGAAATCAGGACTTGATACACTACTTTTTCACCTACTCATAGAAATAAAAAAGGACTACATATGATATATATTGCTCAAGCCATGAATGAGGAATCCAACTCATTGTTAGGAACAAGCAGATTCTGTAAATGTGTAAAACCTATAATTTCAATATAATGAGGCAAATTTTCATATACAGACTCTCAATCTACTAGAGCTGCACTTAACAGTCACAAAAATGCCACTGGGCATGCCATCATTCTAAGTGAATCAATGTTCTAATGAATCTTGATTATTGGCATGTGGGCTTTCCACTAATCTAATATGTAATTAAATATGTTAAGAGTTAGAACATCTCACTTCTAATCAACCATAATGAATATTAAACAGCCCTTCACCAATCCAATAACCAGTATCTTTAACATGAGATAAAACAACTAAATGTAATGTGGTGTCCTAGATGGGACCCTGGGACAAAAAAAGGACATTAGTAGAAAACTAGGGAAATCTGAATAAAGTGTGGAATAGTAGTAATACACAAAATACTGATTTCCTTAGTTGTGACACACTAAAGTAATGTAAAATGTTAATAATAGTAGTAACTGGGTATGTGTATGGGCTCTTTATGTTATCTTTTAAATTTTTCTGTAAATCTAAAACTATTCTAAAATGAAAATAGGAAGAATTTAGTCAAGTGAGGGAGACTGAATATATACGAGTGTACAGGATGACAAAAATATTCTAAAGCATCCTGAGGAGATGGGATAAGAAGAAAGACAATTCCTCAATATTAAAAGAAGTAAAGAGGGTGCCTGGGTGGCCCAATTGGTTAAGCGTCTGTCTTCGGCTCAGGTCACGATTCTGGTGTCCTGGGATCGAGTCCCGCACTGGGCTCCCTGATCCACGGGGAGTCTGCTCCCTTTGCCTCTCTCTGTCTCTCATGAATAAATAAATAAAATCTTAAAAAAAAAAAAAAAAGAAAAAGAAGGACGAAAGAGCAGAATGAGTATAGGTGTAGATGGATTTGCACATCTGTTATTCAAAAAATGAGAGGGTTTCTGGTTATGGCTTTTCTCTTCTTTATCATGTAGGAAAAGAGATCATCTGCGTATATTGAGAGGGGAAGGGTTAACCAGAGAAAAACAATATAGGGTAGCCAAGCAATTCTGAAGGTTCATTTTAGGCTGCTGCTGATGATCATAAATTTACAGAAGAACCAATTAGCCCTATTGTAGGTCTTTCTTCATCAGAAACTGTGATTTGTTTCTTAATTCCTACTCAAAGGATGTATGTTATTTTAACTACTCTATTTGTTATACATTGCTATTGAATATGCAAAAATATAAAGTTTTATACTTTTAGAAAGACAAGGTTAAAATTTTATATTTTATCTCAAAAATATATTTTATTTTTTTAGATAAAGAATATATTATCCAGGGGTGCCGGGGTGGCTCAGTTGGTTAAGCATCTGATTCTTAATTTTGGCTCAGGTCATGAATCAGGGTTGTGGGATCGTGCCCTGCGTTGGGCTCCATGCTCAGCATGGAGTCTGCTTGAGATTCTCTCCCTCTCCCTCTGCCCCTCCCCCCCATTTGTGTGGGCTAAAATAAATAAATCTTGGGGAAAAAAGGACTATATTATCATGGAAACATGAGCTCTAACACATGTGAAGAATATATTTCTTCTCCCTTCTCCTTCCATCTATTCCCTAATCCTTCCCCTTCATACATAAACCTAGGGTAGTGAAAAATAATTTTCTAATATACTTCAAAAGACACCAAATGGTTTAGTTTAGCAAGGTAGATGAATAATGAAAAGGGTGCATTAGCAGAAACCAAAACACAGCTGGCATAATTAATCTGAAATCTATAAACCACTTTAGATCAAAAACCAAGGAAGATGAGTAGGAATACTCAACCACAATAAAAACTCCATCACTTAACATTCATTAGAGGGCACTGTTTTCCTTAATTTCACGTAGACTGAAAAAGCTCCTAAAGAACAGCTTTAAGAATTACGTGGTGATTAACTCATACCTTTAGTTCCAATCTGAACACTCAATAACTCCAAAATTTATCCTGAGTACTAATCTTTGATAAAAATCGATAGCCAAAGAACACTTTCAACCAGGTAATCAAATGGCAAAGCTATTTAAATAAAAATGTCTTAGGCAGTGATGCAAAACTATGACGATCATAAACCTGTATACCAAAATCCAGTTGGCACTATACTTTTATTATACACTGATGAATGTCAAATTAACATAACAATGTGCTCAGTTATATACAGCATAAGGTAATTTTATTCCTTAGAATATGTAACCCAACAGAAGTTTCTGGTGGATAAAAACATTCCATGATATAATATGTAAAAAGGAGAATAACAACTGCTAGCAATCCAGGAATCCTCATCAACTGCTCCTTCTTCAGACACAAAGTTCAGCTGAGTACCAGAGGTCCTGCCTATTTTATCTCTACATGACCCTGAGGATCTGGATTCTACTTCCCATTCCCACATGACTGCTGCATCATCCCTAATTTTGAATAAATTCCTAATCCATCTTCCTGCCTCTAGTCTTTCTCTCCTCCTACTTCATTTACACTTTTCCTGAAGCCACTGTTATGAAACAAAAATGTGATTACGTCAGTCCTTGTTTAAATCAATACCTCTGAGGTCCATTACATGGGATGAATGAAGTTCAGACTCCTTGCCTGGCCTGGTAGCCAAAGCTTTTTACAGTCTGGATTTATCCTATTCTTTCAAGCCCTATTCTTTAATCTTATTCCACATTTACCCTTCATATCAGTTATAATTTCCCCAACATACCTACATTCATACTTGTGGGTATTAGTACATCAAGTTTTCTCTGCTTAGAACACCCTTCTACCCACTGTCAACCTGACAAGTTCCTACCCGTCCTTCTAGAGCCAGCTAAAGCACTATCTCCTCTGTAAGCCTGTGATATGCAAAGTCATTTTACTTGCTATCTCTTCTGTCGTCCCACAGCACTTTATATGTACCTCTACTATAGGACTATAACCATCCAAAAGAGATCCTTACATATACAATCACCTGAACTTATGTCAAAGGTGACACTGCAACAGGGAAAGCTGACCTTTCAATCAGCAGTGCTTAATGCAATTGCAAGGGTCAACTGGTGCATGCTAGAAGATATTTGCAAGACATATAACTCACAGTTTCTTTATACAGAATTTATAAAGAATTTCCATAAATCAGTAAGAAAAAGGCAGAAAACCCAAAAGAAAAGAGACGACAGACTTAAGCAGTTAACTCACAAAAGAAGGTATACCTAAATGGCCAATAAGCATTAAAAAGGTGTTCAGCTTAGTCATCAGAAAAATGCAAATGAAACCACAATAAGGTAACATTACACACTCACCAGAAAAGTTAAAAATTTTTTTAAAAAGAGACAATATCAAAAACTGGCTAAGGAGAACAAACAGAACTGTCAAATACTGATGTGAGTGTAAATTGGTATGACCCACTTTGGAAACTCTTTTGACAGTGTTTAGGAAAGCTGAACATATGCACACAATCCGATCCAACAGTTCCACCCCTAGGTATGTACTCAACAGAAATGCTTACATATATTAACCAAAATACATGTACAAGAATGATGACAGAACCACTATTTTGTAATAAGCAAAAACTAAAAACAACCCAAACATTTAAATGTCCATCAACAGGAAACTGGATAAAGTACAGTATACAATGGAATACCATGCAACAGTAAGAACAAATTAACTATAACTATATGCAACAAACTAGATGAAACATGAGCATAACATTCAGCAAAAGAGGTCAGCCAAAAAAAGAATACATACTCTATTCTTCCATGCATATTGTATAATATAAACTTGAATACACATTTTTATATTTGTATAAAATGTATTTTAATAATTTATATAATCATAATTCAAGTTCAAAAGTTTAAATATGAATAATTAGAAATAACAAAAGCATTTTTAAAATAAGAATGTGAATGTAAATGAAGATTTTAAAAAGCCTTTTGAGATATTAAAATATACTACAAGCATTATATAACCAAAACAATGGGAAACATAGGTAAATCTAATCTTTAGCATTAGAAAGCAGGGATGTGGCTACAGTTGAGGAAGTGGAGTAGAAAGTGAACAGAGAGGGTGGCAGGAAGGGGATTTTGGGGTTTCAGGCATTTTCTTTTATTGATTTGGGTACTGGTTACACAGGTATGTTAACTTTGCAAAAAATACACTGAGCTATACCACAATGGTTTATGTACTTTTCTGTATCCGTAGTATATATTTACATATTTAATACATATTCTATACTTCTAGCATATATCAATAAAATTTTTCCAAAAAATAAAACAGAATATAGCTTAAATTGTATTCCAACATGCATCTTTAAACCCTTAAGAAGTGGAAAACAATAAAATCCTAAGAGCAATGTAAAAAATTTAGTTATTAAAAAAGCAAATATAAAAATTAATGTGAAATGTTTACACCCAGAAAATCCAAACAAACAGATTTGATGGCATAGACAGAGGAGACTGAAAACTTACTAAAGAAGCTCTACGAGACCTTCGGCTCATTGGTTGATCAAATGGTGGACTGTTTATCTGCAATTTTTCAAGATATCCATCAGGTATTCTGATATCTGCAGGCAGTGATAACCGCTTATTTAAATCCTTTATTTAAAAAAAGGGAAAAAAAGGTATTTGTAGGTAATCACAAATAGAAGAGACAAGAGCATTTCATTTTTGAATTCATGGGCTCTACTATATTATTTATTAATGATAAATAGCTGTAAGTTTTATTACAGTTTTAAAGTTATACATGTTGATTATATATAATATCTGAATGCAAACGCATTTACTGTAAGCAGAAGTATACAACATAGTTCTACAGAAATGGTACTCTGCAAACCCAGTTATTTCTGAGTCCTTTCACTGGTGAATTCCACATGGAATTTACTTAGACATTATTATACCATGTAGGAAGATGCAAAGACTACCACAAAATGTGACCAGTTTAATAACTAACCAAGCAGATATTGTAAGGTTTTGTATGCAACATAGTGAGACAACCGAAATCTTTTATTAGTGCTGTATCAACAGAAAGAAGTAAAAAGCGAGAAAAATCTCAACTAAACAACCTCACTTTACACCTAAAGAAACTAGAAAAAGAACAATGCCCAAACCTAGTAGAAGGAAGGAAATGATAAAGATTAGAGTAGAAATAAATGAAATAGAGACTTAAAAAAAAAAAAAAAAAAGAACAGATCAATGAAACTAGAAGCTAGTTTGTTGAAAAGATCAACAAAATTGGGATGCCTGGGTGGCTCAGTTGGCTAAGCATCTAACTCTTGATTTTGGCTAAGGTTATGATCTCAGGGTCAAGAGATTGAGCCTGGTGTAGGGCTCCGTGGTCAGCAGGGAGTCTGCTCAAGATTCTCTCCTTCTCCCTTTGCCCCTCCCCTGTGTGTGCATGTGCATGCTCTCTCTCTCAAATAAATAAATCTTTAAAAAAAAGATCAATAAAATTGATAAACCATTAGCCAGACTCATCAAAAAAAAAAAAAAAAGAGAGAGAGAGGACTCAAAATCATAAAGGAAAGATGAGAAATAACAACCAACTCCACAGAAAAGCAAAGGATTATAAGAGAATATTAGGAAAAATTATAAGCCAACAAACTGGACAACCTAGAAGAAATGGATAAATTCCTAGAAACATATAACAACCTCCCAAAACTAAATCAGGAAGAAATAGAAAATCTGAAAAGACCAATTACCAGCAATGAAATTTAATCAGTTATCAAAAAACTCGCAACAAATAAAAGCCCAGAACCAGACAGTTTCACAGATGAATCCCACCAAAAATTTAAAGAAGAGTTAATACCTATTCTCCTCAAACTATTCCAAAAAATAGAAGAGGAAAGAAAGCTTCCGAATTCATTCTATGAGGCCAGCATTACCCTGATACCAAAACCAGATAAAGACACCACAAAAAAAAAGAGAACTACAGGCCAATATTTCTAACATAGACGCAGAAATCCTCCACAAAACATCAGCAAACCAGATCCAACAATACATGAAAAAAAAATCAGGGGTGCCTGGCTAGCTCCGTTGATAGGGCATGCAACTCTTGATCTTAGGGTAATGAGTTCAAGTCCCATGTTGGGCACAGAGCTTACTTAATTTAAATATATATATTTAATAATTATTATATTTTATATTTGTATATAAATATAATACATATATAATATAAATATATAATATAATACATATATATTATATACACATTATATATGTATAACAATATATCATTATAAAATATAATTATATTAATTATATGTTGGTATATTTATATTAATTATAGTAATGTAATATATATTTAATATATTAATAAACAAACATGTAAATATGTATTTAAAATGTAATATAAATATATAATATAGATATAAATATATGCTATAAATATATATAATATAGATATATAAATATGTGATATTAAATATATATTTATATATATTAATATTTAAGTGGGATTTATTCCAGGGATGAAAGGGTGGTTCTTAAGCGGGGGGCATTTCTATTCCATTTAATTATAAAATGTGAACTGGGAGAAATTAAAAGGGAATCTTGCCTATATTGTCACACTAAGAAACATAAATCCTATAAAAAATAAATCCCTACTATCTGTAACAGTAACCAAACCATAAAACAAAATTGAGATGTATAGGAACTATGTAAACGTTTACTGAGAAACATATAACTCAAGTACAGAAATATATACCATATTCCCAAATGGTAAGACTAAGTAATGAAAAGATAATGGTTCTCCCATATTAAATGTTTTACATTTTACATAATCCCAAACAAATCACAATAACATTATTAGAACAAAATATTTAAAATTTATCTAGAAGAATACACAGAAAGTAACATCCAAAAACATTCTAAGTAAGAATACATATGTGAATGCAAGATGTAGAGGATGTTAAGAAAGAAGTCTTTTCAGCTATTATAATATACAAAAGAAAGAATATCATCAAGGGACTGTCACCTTTGGGGCAAAAAATAAATACAGCTCAATGGAAGAGAAAGTTCAAATAAAAATCCTAATAGTAAAAAAACTTGTAAAGATATGATAGAAGAAAAATATATATTATTATGATATAGTGATATGAACAGATACCAAGTTGATCTCAAGAGTTGAAAATACCGTTTTTTAACTGATTAAGAGCAATCTTTTATCAATAAAAATGCAATCAACCAACGGGACAGATACCCCAAGCACTGTAATCTCAACTCAAAGGCACCAAAAAAAACAATATTCTTAATTCAAAACATGTTCAACTGTTTTGGAGAAAACTATTTTAATCTATAGTATATACTGAAATAACATTCATAATCAACTTTGATCTCAAGGTTATACATGAGCTATTAATTCTTTTACATGAAGACATAACTTATATGTTCTACAGAAATCAGTAGGTATAATAAGCCATAAAGGAAATGATACCCATATTTATAATATAAAGCAAAAAAAAAAAAAGCTGGTGCTTATTTTATGTATACATTTTGAAATCTGAAATAAAATATTTATAAAATAAAATACTAAATATCCAGATAAGCCTCAAAAATATAATTAAAATCATATTTTCTAAAAAGAAAACTTTGCTAAAGTATCATTCTGAATTTCCAGTATTTTTGAAAATTCACATTTCCCTTACAGACACCCTACATGTTTTTTGTGGATTGTTAAATATAATTAATGTATACTTGCCTTGGGATAGATAATTAGAAAAAAGGAAATATTCACAAGACTACTCATTACTAATGCAAAGAAACAATTTTCTTACAATGTCATTTGCCTTCATGAAAATTTTCAAATGGTCATTTACTGTTTGATGTATATGTGTATTCATACACACAAACACACATATGCAGCCATATGGTTACCTCCATTGAGATCCGTCTATGTATACGATTTCTAAGACAAACGCCTGTAGGTGACTGTACTTCATCAGATGATGTCCCAGAAGCTTGGTCACTCTCACCATCTGATCCCATTTTTAGATTTTCATGAACAATATCTGTATCACAAAATGAAACATTATTTATCTTCAAAGAGATGCATTACACCTTACTATATCACATAATTTATTATCACTACAAATAAGATAAAGACAGCCAACACATAAAAATCATAAAAGTTTTTTACATTCTGGTTGCTCTGTGTAACTAATAGATCAAAACGTAACTCAGATGTCTTTTTTTTTTTTTTTAAAGATTTTATTTATTTGAGACAGAGAGAATGAGAGAGAGAGAGCACATGAGAGGGGGGAGGGTCAGAGGGAGAAGCAGGCTCCCTGCTGAGCGGGGAGCCCGATGCGGGACTTGATCCAGGGACTCCAGGATCATGACCTGAGCCGAAGGCAGTCGCTTAACCAACTGAGCCACCCAGGCGCCCACTCAGATGTCTTGAAACAGTAGTGAGAAACCTTTCACACTCAGATTATGAAAAACTATGAAAATAATTAACATCCAAGTTATTATCAAGAGCTGAATAATAAAATTACAGACTGGAAATAACATGAGGATTATTTAGTCAGTTCTCTCATTTTCCAGATCTGGGAACTGAGACTTTGAAAGGTTAAATGATTTTGAAAGGTTACACAGCTTAGAGGCATAGCGAAAATAGAAACCTGGTCTTTTGCCTTTTATTTAGTTTAGTATTTTTTCTGTAAAATAATGTGCCACTGGGTCTACAGCCAAATGATCTATTACTTTGAATATCCTTAAAAAATAAGTTTTTAAAGCCATTAATGGAGCTTCCCCTCTCCACAGTGTTAAAAATTTAAAAAAAAAAAAATCAAAAATTATTTACTGAATATCTATTTAACTACAGAAACATCTTGTGACCACCAAAAATCTGTATGGAGGAAAAAATATATTTAAATTACAAAACAAAGTGGTGTCACAGGTTTCTTTTCTTTATTAAATATTAAAGATGAAAGTTAAATGGGAGTAGAGAGGAGGAAGATTAATTCCATCTGGGAATATTAAAAACAAACTTATATAACTTGTATAATACCTGCTCTATATTTGCATTTGTCAATCATCCTGTAATTCATCTAGCAAGAATTGCACACCAGAAACAAACAAATGCTAGATATCAAACACATCTCTTACCACTGGTTCTCTTCATGCAATTATTCATTCCCCCAAAAGTATCATATTGTTTCATGCTAGAGTGCTTTAACACAACACACTTTCCCCCCCTCTTTTACCCATAAGAGATGCCTTTCCCCAATTTAACAATTTGGTGAACTCATACTTATTTTTTCAAAACTATATTCATTTGTCATCACTCAGTAAAATCTTTTCCAGACACAGATGACTACTGTGCCCACACCTACCACATCCACTGCACTGAAGTGCATTTTTTGGTTTCAGATGATTTTTATACCAAGTTAGGAGATCCTTGGGGGGCAAGATTTAGCTTATTCACTTTTATATTCCCCACACTGAACAAAGCACCTGGTGTTTAGAAGGTGGTCAACAAATAATCCCATAAATTAAATATTAAGTAAAAATCAAAGAATGCACTAGGTAACTATATCTCTTCTTTCAAATGAAATGTTATATGAAATACCAACATGTAAAACAAAATAGTATTTTATAGTTACAAATTTGTATTTTTAATGAATATCTGCCTAAGAAAATGAGAACCATTTAACAAAAAACTGAACTCAAGGATCTTATCAAATCAGTCTTAAAATTCCTCTATTTTTGTTTTTTGTCTTGATAACATATTATTTTTTAGAGAGAGAGAGTACATGTGCATGAGTTGGGGCGGGGGGCAGAGGGAGAGGGAGAATCTTAGGCAGATTCCACACCCAGTGTGGAGCCCAACAGGGGGCTCGGTCTCACAACCCTGAGATCATGACCTGGGCTGAAATCAACAGTCAGATGCTTAACCACCCGAGCTACTCAGGTGCTCCTTGATAAACACATTGAGAAAATTCTTTTTTTTTTTTTAAGATTTTATTTATTTATTTGACAGAGAGAGACACAGTGAGAGAGGGAACACAAGCAGGGGGAGTGGGAGAGGGAGAAGCAGGCTTCCTGCCAAGCAGGGAGCCCAATGCGGGGCTCGATCCCAGGACCCTGGGATCATGACCTGAGCCGAAGGCAGACGCTTAACGGCTGAGCCACCCAGGCGCCCCTCACATTGAGAAAATTCTTACTCACACTGATAAGCAGTTGCAAATATGATAGTTTTTAATAGACTGATATGTAATTTAAGGATATACTTCAATTACATAAAGATTTCTGGAGAAATTTTATACTAAGATCTGAACAAAAAATTAACTTGGCAATAAAAGTCAATGTATTGGTAACTGATTGCTAATCTGATGGTATACAACACATCTAAGGCCAAGTATTCTTTTCTGTCACACTTTTAAAATGTTAAAGATAACTTAACCATGCCTTCTATTTCCGGCAAAATCAGAAAACCTTCCTTCCTCAAGGAAATGTTGAATAAGATGTAATAATAATTTAAAATGCATAGCTGAGTATGAAAGAATATGTGCATAATACCAAGGAAGCAAAGACAAAGAGAACTGAGAGCCAAAAGATGTTATGTATAAATTGACTCTGTTACTCTCTCAGGGAGGGGTTGCTGATCTTGGCAAGAAAATGCTTGGGTTTAGCTGCCACACTGGGATAAAAGAGGAAGCATCAGGTGTCCAAGGTGCAAGTGAGAGTTTCCTAAAGAAAGGCACAAGACTCTTAAAGTACTATAAAGGGCAGACTTAAATCTGTTCTACTGCACAAGGACTACAAAGGAGCATAGGAATCTCAAACTATAAATAAATACTTGAGTACCATCGGACTCAACCAAGAAGTTGCTCATGTCATTAACAAACAAGTGTAGTTCCAACATGAGTATCCGTATTTTCATTTCCATTAATAAGACAAAAGTGAAACAATGAAGAGTATGTCAAAACTTCACTCATTTGTCACTGGTGTGAGCAACTTCTTTGCTAAATCAGGTAATAGTTTTTGAGTACTGGAAGAATATTTACTTCAGATGGCTCAATTTTCTGCCATTCACAACTGTAAAAGCTACAGATACAACACACTTTTAATCTGCATTACTAACATTTTCAATATTACTTTCTTAAATTCAGACCAAAGATCAGCAAATGTGACCTGTTTTTGTACAGTTCCTGAGCTAAAAATATTTTCTGCACCTTTAAAGAGTTATTTTAAAAAGAATATGCAACAGAGATCATATGTGGCCCACAAAACCTGAAAAATTTACAATCTGGACCTTTGCAGGAAAGTATGCCAATCCCCAGTCTAGACAACAAAACAATATATATCAAGTCCTGATGTGAAGTTTTTTCCAATTTCTCTGAGGTAAGTACTCCCTCCATGGCCAAGTTCAAGCTACAACATGACCATCACTGAGCATGTAGTTGGGAAGAAATGTACATACCATTACATAAAATTTTGACTATACAGATACAACAGAAATAACCCCAAAAGCAGAGGTAATAGTAAAGTGTAGTAAAATAATTTGTAATAGAGGTAATAGTAAAGTGTAGTAAAATAATTTAGAAATAATGACTTTTGAGGATTCATTACTTTTGTAATCAGCTTACTTAATTATAGGTTTTTAACATTTAAACTTTAATAATGGCTATATTTAACAACCAGCTTGGAAAATTCCTGAAAATTTAACAATCATCTCTCATGAACCAGTGTGAGACAACTATAGCACACCATTCTGTAGGTTTATACCTATAGGAATAAAGGCTACATACATTTCCCCATAGGTAAACCCCACTATAGATAAGCTCACACTCCCCAAATTAACAAAACACACGAGGAAATAACCTGCCAAGGAAGCAGATAAAGCAAGGAGTAAAACAAAACCCTCAGAAACTTCAGTAATTATGTCATGAGACTATAATTTATGCTTAAAATGATTTTAAAAATCAAAACATGATAGTAAGATGCTATCAAAAAAGACCAGAGAAATAAACAGAAACTTGCAGGTATATATTTTTCCTAAATATTTAGAATGACATAGTGACATAAGAATAGCAACTCAGGTGACAATCATGTATACGAATCATTGCACTGGACTATCTTATGGTGATAATCTGGAGTTACCATGGTATGACCCTAAATTAAGCACCATCTTGAAATGCCATTCATCTTGAAATCTTGCATCCATCTCCTAGGGGTTTTGTTTTCTTCCTGGTGGACAGGTTTTCAAATGTTACTCCTCTGTAGTGTCAACACTAGTACCTCTCTAGAGCCTTCCATCTTTCTGCTATCTCTGTTATTTTCAACTTGATTTTTATTTTATAAAAAAAATCAGATAATGAAGGCTGGCTGACTTCCATACAACTATAACAATAGCTACTACACGTATGACTCACAGTCAGAAAGTTAAAAAAAAAAAAAAAAGGACTGTTAAATTACCTAATCTGCTTCCATTTCTGGGCATTGCCATGAAGGATCCAAGGCTTCCTCCAATAACGCTATGTGGTCTCCTCAATGGGGGCTTCTTGAAGGACCCTGTGTACTGATGGAGGAAGGAATGCATACTGTGAGAGGTTGGAGGTCTGCCATTCTTCACAATAGGCTCTGTGGTTCACAGTATCCAAAATCGTTCCATTAACAGCCCAAGATCCAGGATCACATGAAAAGGATTGAGAAAGAAAAACAGAAAACAAAGAACAAAAGGTTTATAAGATCAGTAACATTTAAGAATTCTTTGGCTATCTATACAAAGAACCAGAATTAAAATAATTTCCATGAAAAAATACAGAAAATACTTCAATATTTGAAATTGGTCCAATCACTTAAGTAAGCACTTCTTATATAACCAAAATTGATTAGCAATCACAAAACTACTAACAGAGCCCATAGATTTTATCCATTTGCTTATTTTAATATATCCCAAGTTTGTTTCCAAACTACTCCTACATTTACTAACTGTCTCATATATGCCTTATAATTAGGCATGCTATAGAATATAAAAGACATGGTCCTGGCCTCAAGGAATTTATATCCCTATTTGCTAGACATTCAAAAGGTATGTCAGTTAATGGATAAACATAGAAGTACTTAAGCATATATCAATATAGAGGTTCTGAAATTTCTTACCCAAAATTTGGGACTTTTAATATAAAGAGTTTTTTTTTTTTTAAGAAATCTCAGACTTATAAACAAGCAGAAACATTTAAAAAATATAGAATACTTAAAAGTTATTTAATTATAAATGGGAGAAATCCTGTTTTGTAATGCTTATGAGGAATTTCATGATTCTTTTCCACCTCTAAAGAAGAGCTCTAAAATAGGTTAAAGACATGATGAAGTCTTCTATGACAAGGAATTAGTCTTCTGTATTAGAATTATGTTTTACTGCTAGTAGCTAAAGAATTTTAAAAGGAACTTGGCTTCTCTGAATATCTTTTCTCCTCTAAAATGGAGCCAGCTCGGGCGCCTGGGTGGCTCAGTTGGTTAAGCGACTGCCTTCGGCTCAGGTCATGATCCTGGAGTCCCAGGATCGAGTCCCGCATCGGGCTCCCTGCTCGGCAGGGAGTCTGCTTCTCCCTCTGACCCTCCCCCCTCTCATGTGCTCTCTCTCATTCTCTCTCTCTCTCAAATAAATAAATAAAATCTTTAAAAAAAAAAAAAATGGAGCCAGCTCTTTTGCAGCTGATCATCAGGAGTAAGAATATCTACTGATTGGTTTCCCCTACCTGTAAAGGTTAATCAGACACCAAGAACAAGACGACCACGAGGCCTGCACCTCTACTAATAATGGCTGCATAAAAGAAGGTGGGAAAAGGAGGATGGGGCCAAAGGGCCCTTGGGGCTCAGACAGAGCCCAAGTTATCTAATTTGGGTAGAACACCAGACTGGAAAAAGGAAAAGTACCTAACTAGTAATAGATAATATCTGTCCAAAGCTTCCTATGGCCTATACATTCCTTGGCAATAGCTGGCTGATCAAAGATTTGGGGGATCTTAAGCCTAGTAAAATAACCAATGATTTAATAATGAATGGGGAAGGGGTATCTGAAAAAGTGCAAAAATTAAATAGTCAAACAGTGTAGGATACAAGCTAGAACATATAAGAAAAAATTTTCTCTTTCTAGGTTATAATATTTCATATCTAGAATCATAATAAAATACAGAATTATTCTGCCTATAGACAACATGTTTTAGTTGCTCTGTAAAGTTATCCTAGGGATTAGAGCTTTACAGTCTTGATGAATATAGGAGAAAAAAAGGAGATCATAAAAAACATTCAATTATTCAGAGGCCATTTATTTATTTTGTGCCTACTACTCCAGGTCCTGGGCATCAACAGGTGAACAAAACAAGCAAGGTACTACTCTCTAAGATTATAAGATCTTACGGAGGGGAAACAAATAAGAAACTAATGAATAAGAAAAACATCAGATAATGATAGGCAATATGCAAAAGAGAGATGACAGAAAATAAAGGAGTAGCTATTTTACACTGGATACTGAGTAAAGTTCTCTCTGTAGAAGTATTTTTGACAGAGATATAAATGCAAGAAAGAGCCAATCTTGGGAAGATAGGTGACGGTGAGTTAGAAGATAGTCCAGAGGTTAAAGCTACTGCAAAAGTTGACATGTGGCAGGAGTAAAACTTTAGCATGTTTCATTATCACCTTCAGAGACTTGTTAAAATACAAGATTGCTGGGCCCTACCCACAGACTTCCTGACTCAGATCTAACATGGAATCCAAAAATGTGCATCTCTAACAAATTCTCAGGTGATGCGGATATCGCTGGTCCAGGGATCAAACTCTGAAAACACTGTGTTAGAGGAACACAAAGAAGGCAAGTGTAGCTGTACTACATGTGTTATTTAGTGAGGTTCAGAGAGAGAAACATGTTTGTTTGTAACCATAAAAGTTCAAATTTTATTCTGAGATTGGAATCAGTTATGGTAGCTTTGGAACAGGTCTCATGATCTCATTCATGTTTTAAAAATATCACTCGTAGGGGTCAGGGATGGTGGGAGATAAAAGGTGGAATAACTATAAAGAGGTAGCATAAAACGGATCTCTTTCTGGTAATGGAATACCTCCTTATCCTGATTGCAGTGGTGGTTATACGAATCTACACGTGATAAAATGACACAAAACTATACTCACACTTCATTCCCGTGTTAATTTCCTGGGTTTGATAATGGTTTATAGTTAAGAAAGATGTAACCAAGGGAGGGAACAAAGAGAAGGGCACAAGGAACTTCTCGGTACTATGTTTGCAACCTCCTTTGAATCAATTAATTATTAAAAATTTGGGGGCATCTGGGTAGCTTGGTTAAGTGACTGCCTTCAGCTCAGGTCATGATCCTGGAGAGTCCCAGGATTGAGTCCTGCATCAGGCTCCCTGCTCAGCACGGAGTCTGCTTCTCCCTCTGACTCTCCCCCACTCTCGTGCTCTCCCTCGTTCTCTCTCTCTCTCTTTCTCTCTCAAATAAATTCTTTAAAAATAAAAAAAATTTTTTTTAATTAAAAATTTTGAACATCACTCTTGGTACTGCTGGAGAACAGATGAGAGGGAATCAACAAGAGGGGAAACAGAAGGAAGAGACTATTATACTATCCTAAACAACAAATGGTGGTGGCCTGGACCAGAATGGAGAGAAGTAGGCAAATTTAGGATATATTATAAAGACAGAACCAAACAGCTAGCAGACATGGCTGCAAAATTACTTTCATACATACTCTCCCCCATCCAGCTTTTAGTGAGGACCTATATTAAAAACATCTATCTAAAGAAAAATTTTAAAGCTACAGCAGAGCCTCTGTTAAAAAATAAATAATACGTAAAAGGACAATAGCTGGAAACATGTTATCAAGCATATAAATTACTATCATTAATAGTGAGTTTTTAAAAATTATTTACATTGTAAATACACAGGAAACTAGAATGGCAGAACAGGGGAGAAGGGGAAACAGAACAGTGAAGGAGAAAGAAAAATCAAGGATAATTCCTGGGTTTTTATTTTTAAATGGTTTAGGTTAAGCGAGGGAAGTTGGAAAAGAATCAGATTTGGGGGGAAGGAAATCAAGAATTCAATTCTGGCTTGGTAATATTAAGTTTGACTCTTACTAAACATCTATGTGGAGAAGCCAACTAATATTTGGATATGAATCTAGAGATCCAGACAAAAATCCTGACTAGAAATACAGATTTAGAAGTAGTCAGCATATATACAGTAGCTGAAATCATAGGACTGGATAATGTCAGCCCACGGAGTGTGTACAGAAAAGAGAATGGGGCTCATGAATCGTGAAATATCCCAACATTTCAAGAGTATGATAACAATTGATTGGGCAATTCAAGAAGATAATATGCTGCATTTTAAAAAATGGAAACTTTAAAGACATCATGCTAAATGAAAGAAGTCAGATACAAAAGGACAAATACTATATGATTCCACTTATATGAGGTACCTTGAAAATTCATGGAGACAGAAAGTAGAATAGTTGTTACCAGGGACTGAGGGAAGGGGAGAACAGAGAGCTATTACTTAATGGGTATAGAGTTTCAATTTGGAATGATGAAAAAGTTCTGGGGATAGATGGTGGTGATGTGATGGTTGCACAACAATGTGAATGTACTTAATGCTTAGTCACTAAAACCAGAAACTTCAAAATGGTTAAAATAGTAAATTCTACATTATGTATAATTTACCACAATATTTTTTAAAGTAATGGAAATCTATATGAAAAACAGATCTTTCTTATTCTACAAAGTAGTTAGTTCAAGTAAGACTTCCCAATGATTTTTAACATCATAACATGGCAATCACTATGATTTTATGCATCTTATTCATTTGGGTCTTCTGATTATGTGAACTATTCTGAGCAGGAACATGCATTTTTTTTTTTTTTAAAGATTTTATTTATTTATTTGACAGAGAGAGAGACAGCGAGAGCGGGAACACAAGCAGGAGGAGTGGGAGAGGGAGAAACAGGCTCCCTGCTGAGCAGGGAGCCCGATGCGGGGCTCAATCCCAGGACCCTGAGATCATGACCTGAGCCAAAGGCAGTCTACTTAACGACAGAGCCACCCAGGCACCCCAGGAACATGCAATTTCTTAGCCCACCCTGGACTCTTCGTCATTCCCTACTCCTAATCCTGCTCTTATAAACACTGTTAATATCTGATCCTAATCATACCCTACATACATCCATAGTCTGTGCTTTCAACCTCATCCTCTCATGGACCTTTTGCTATTTGTAGGAGTTAGCACTACTTACAACCTCCTATATGTCATCCACTATTGTAAAAAAAACTGTCACTGCTATCATGTATCAGATCATCAGAAGAAAGGAAAAAACCTGGGAGTACAATAAGGTTTCACAATATCCATCAACTAGGCTTGTTGACTCTAAACAACATAATAAACTGACCCAGTGCACAGACTGAGTAGTAAAGAAAAGAAACTGGAATATCTGGAAAACTACATCATTTCAATCTTTGCCTTTTAAGGTTTCTTCAGATTCTAAATAATCATGAGAAGTGGCATTCTGTTAAGTTTACATAATAACATAAAGATGCAGTTTTCTTAGTTGAACAATTTCAGTTGTCAAAAAAAGTAATTTTTGTTGTAGCTGCAGTTGAAAGCTCCAAATAATATATATAAAATAAAAGGTATTTTTGCTTTTTTAGTATGACTGTGATCTATTTTCTCCCTCATATTTAAATTGTCACCTATTCCCCTCATCAAATTCAGTAATTTTAATATATCTTCTCATTAGAGTAAGGTTAGCTACTTAGACAAGATCCTGAAATATCTTAACTTTCTGTGATATGTTTAAAATACTATTAAGACATTTATTGGGGTACCTGGCTGGCTCAGTCGGGTTAGGCATCCAACTCTTGACTTCAGCTCAGGTCATAATCTCAGGATACTGAGATTGAGCCCCACATCGGGCTCCAAGCTGGGGCGTGGAGCCTGCTTGGGATTCTCTCTCCCTCTCCTTATGCCCCTCCCCCCACCCTCTCTAAAAGAAAAAAAAAAAAATACACAGGGCTTAATTAAAATACCAGGAATTCAAAGGGGATTTGAGAGAGAATTAAGGATTTTGCTCCTGGCACAAAGAAAAAAAGTAAGAAATAGAACTGTCTTTGAGTTTTGACCCAAATGCAAAACGTGTCCCCCTCCTACATAAGTTATATCCAAATCATTATTTTTTAAATTTTCTACTCAATTCATCTATGTTTCCTCTCCCCTATTACAACTAGCCAGATAAACTTGAGTAAATGATGATCCTTCTGAGAAAAGAGATAAACTGAAGCTTGAGTAAGATAAATTAGAGTCATATAACTAATTAATAAGGGTATAAGTGTGTTAGAGTATCCCAAATTCTAATCCATGACTTTTAACTTAAAGTTCAGAGCCCTTTACCTTATACCTTTCCCTCTCTCACAACAAAGACATGTGCATTCAAAAGAAGTGGGTAGGGGTATTCATGTTCTCACCCACTGCCACAAATTTCTAATAGAAGAATTTCAGGTACTGGCAAGAAAGGCTTGCCAGAGAACGTGTACTTCAAGACATACTGGCAGTCATTCCTATAACTCCTTCCTGGTTATTATTATGACATCCCTAGGGTTATTTCAGTTTTGAATATGTAGCCTTGTTCTATAAATTTCATCAGGATTTTACATTTTAATCCACTCAATTAAACAAGTTCTTTTCATTTTATATCAACCTCTGTGGAAAGAACTGTCAAACATGTGAAATGCTGTATGCCTACCTACTATTAAGTGCTCTCAATATTATGGATAGACTGCAGTAAATATAAAATAAGGAAAGAGTAAGATTCACTCACGTCATGAACCTTGTCATCTATAGTCCATATGCATATACAATGTTATAAAACTATGATGAAGCCTCAAACAGGAATTTCACAAACTTACTACACTTGTAAGCTGTATTAACTTAGGTTAACTTAAAAACAGTTATTTAACAACTAGGATATTATATAAGGTATTCTTATTTAAGAGACAATAAAAAATAGACAAACGGGATAGGAGAATCCATAAGGGTTAGAGACCAGGTACAGTAACACTCCTGGAGTAAGAGTGAAACGTTCCAATAATTAAGTAAGCAAAAGTCACATAGTCTTCTGTTTCCTAAGAACTAGAGAATAAGACAAAGAAATAAACAAAAGGAAGCTATTAGGAACTTACCAGAAAAGTAAATTCACATTCAATTTATAAAGTAATTAAAAGGCGGAAGCATCGCTCCTTCCCTCCTCCCCTCCCCAGCCCCAAATACTTACCATTATCCTTGCTGCTATTTTCTTCAATAGTCATTTGTTCCGCCAATTCAGACAATGATTCATCAATAGTTTGGCTTCCCCGAAGAGTGAGGGATAGCCTTCTCTTAAATTTTTTCATCCTATCAACTGAATGTGACTTGAAAAATCCTAAAAGAACAGAACAGAATGAACACAAAATTAAAGCTCTAAATATTTTAAAGCTCAAGAAAAATGTCATTCTGAGTTTACTGGGAACCTTCAAAATAGGAATATAAACAGGAATTCTCATGGCAACCAGCATCACAAAATCCAACCCCTTCAAGATTCAGTCACTTTGATTAATGCTTTATTTATGCAGTATCATCAGTAGAGCAGGGATTCTACAAAACTAAATAAAAATGGAGGTTTGCAGCATCACAGCTGAATTTAGAGGATTAGAAATTTTCCTAAAATGTGCTTTTTAAAAACCAATATAGTAAAAATATCAACACTATTTTGATGCATAGGTCCCATCATTATAAATATCAATCATCACATTGGAAGCTGTCAGTGATATCTTTATATATAAATGGGGGGACAGGAGAAGTGAAGGGGGCTGGAGAGAGAATAAAGAATGATGTTTGACACTTTACTAAATAGCTCCAACAGGAATTTTTTAACTTCTTATTTAACCAATATATTGCATTTTTTTTCCCCCCTGGTCAGCTGTTAGGAACCTCTTCCTGTTATCTTAACAATGCCGAGTTTTAGAAGGAAGAAATGAAAGCCAAATTCATAGTATTAAATGCATACCCAGTACTACACACTTTCATATCGCTTAATTCATTTAGTCTTCTTAACTCTAAAGACTAGACTATCTATAGCAGCTATACGATCCAATTTTCACAAATAAACTAACAGCTTCAAAGAAATTCCCTGACCGAAGTCAAATGAACAATAAATGAGAGAACTGAGATTTAAAACTAGGATCACCTTTCCCCCCACATTTTAACCTCTCTGAAATTAGGATGTAGCTTGTAATTAATGGGATGTCAAAATATAATTGACAGCCTCTTTTTCTTAGTGGTACATACAGCAATGGTATGATTCATAGTAGAGTCTCAAAATCAAACAAGGTATTTGCCGCCAAAACAGATACCTCAGTAATTTACTTGCAACTTCTTTTCTAATTTACTATTTCTTACTTGGGATGAGCAACTTTACCAGATTACAAACATATTATAACCATTAGCCCGACTAAAAGTAAGAGCCTTATAACTCCCCTATGCTAAAATACATGTTTTATCATCCAGCTCTGGGTGACTACTTTGAATCTCTAAGTATTTTGCTTATTTTCACATTCTATTTTCGTGAATAGATTATAGTATTCTAAAGCCCTTGTCTGTAATCCGGAGTCTGCATAACCTATTTCTATTGTTGATTTATCTCTGTTGGTCCCATGTATGCCTCGTAATTTTTAATTGAATGTTACACATTGTATGTAATGACTGCATAAAAATATGTATGAAAAGTGTAGAGGCTCTAGATTGTTACCTTCTTCCAGAGATGATTTAATTTTTTTTCTAGCAAGCAGTCAGAGTAGGAGCAGATCACCGCAATCCAATCAAGGACTGAGCTGGCATGAGACTGGGATTCAAACACCATTAAAACTGGCCTACCTCTGATCTGTTCCCACTCCTATGGTGTGCCCCTCTTCAAAAGATTCCAGCTACAAACGCAGGGCTAGAACCAAAAAACTACTGAAAGCTCCACTCAACTTCCTCAGTTGCTTTTTGCTCATCTCTTCTACAATGTTCAGTTTTTATCGTCTTATCCAAAATAACTTGAGCTAGAAAATGCCTCAAGAGGAAAACCAGCACAGAATATATCTATTTCTCCCTTCTCTCCTGAATCTTGACTCCTCAAGGTGTGACTAACTTCAAAGCACTACGAGATGCCTTCAAACTCATTTTTCCTCCTACATATCAAATAGTTCTCCACAGGATATTTAGTATAATACAAGTTGCTCTATCATAGACAAAACTGGAGGTTTAGGTGTGGTTTAAAAGAGATAATATATTTGTGACAGCACCATACTGTTTGATTATTACAGGTTTTTTTTTTTTAAAGATTTTATTTATTTATTTGACAGAGAGAGAGAGACAGCATGAGAGGGAACACAAGCAGGGGGAGTAGGAGAGGGAGAAGCAGGCTTCCTGCCTAGCAGAGACCCTGATGCATGGCTCGATCCCAGGACCCCGGGATCATGACCTGAGCTGACGGCAGACACCTAATGACTGAGCCACCCAGGTGCCCCTCTAGTAGATCTTTAAATCTGGAATTGTGATACCTCCAGCTTTATCATTCTTTCTCAAGACAGCTTTCGCTATTCAGGGTCTTTTGTGGTTCCATACAAATTTTAGAATTATTTGTTCTAGTTCTATTAAAAAAATGGTGTTGGTATTTGGATAGGGATTGTACTGAATCTGCAGACTACTCTGGGTAGTATGGACATTTTAACAATAGTAACTCTTCTAATCAATGAGTATGGAATATCTTTCCCTTTGTCTGTGTTGTCTTCAATGTCTTTCATCAATGTTTTATAGTTTTCCGAGTACAGGTTTTTCACTTCCTTGGTTAAGTTTAACCCTAGGTATTTTATTCTTTTTGGTGTATAGTGTATTTCTTGCAATAGCCAAGATTTGAAAACAGCCTAAGTGTCCATCAATAGATGAATGAATACTGAACTATACAGAGGATGTGGTATGGGGTCGCCTGGGTGGCTCAGTCGTTAAGCATCTGCCTTCAGCTCAGGTCATGATTCCGGGGTCCTGGGATCGAGCCCTGGAATTGGGCTCCCTGCTCTACGGGAATCCTGCTTCTCCCTCTCCCACTCACCCTGCTTGTGTTCCCTCTCTCACTGTGTCTCTCTCTGCCAAATAAATAAAATCTTAAAAAAAAAAAAAGAGGATGTGGTATGGAATATTACATAGCCATAAAAAAGGATGTAATCTTTCCATTTGCAACAACAATGGATAGACTTAGAGGATATTATGCTAAGTGAAATAAGAAAAAGACAAATACTGTTTAACTTCACTCATATGTGGAATCTAAAAAACAACTGAATAAAAAAATGAAAAGTAGAATCAGACCTACAAATACAGAGAACAAATGGATGGTTACCAGAGGGAATGGGGGGGCTACAAAATGGATGAAGGAAAGAAGAAGATACAGGTTTCCAGTCATGGAATAAGGTTGTATGGTGACAGATGGTAGCTACACCTTGTGGTCAGCATAACATATCATAGAGAGATGCTGAATCACTATGTTATATATATGAAACTAATCTAACATTGTGTGTCAACTATATTCTAATTAAAATTTTAATACAAATAAATAAAATAGATAATATATGTATTTCACCAAGCAAGGTGAATTTATAGGAGGCAGTCAGTAAAATATAAGAGTTGATTCCAACTAAGAAACCTGTTACTGTAGGGCCGTCCTACATGCTAGATTCTTTACTTCTCAGTCAGCCCTTATATAGTTGTACCTTGTTAGTAATCCATGCCATTTGTTTAAAACATATTAGATATTTAATGTAAATTGAGCTATGGCCAATCTCATCTACCTTCTGTCACTGTAAGAATTTATACTAGAGACACTCTCCTTTGTAAGGATCTAAATCACCCCGCGCAATAAAGGGGTAACTCTACAAGGCTGGTGCAGGGTTGCGGGGGAAGGAGCTCAAACTCTGCACATTCCAAAGAAAAGACTTAACTGTGATAGACTCCTGAGAAGTAACTTCGAGCCCCTGGAATACCCTGCCTGGTAAGTCTCTTTGTTTGCCTAAGATCTTGGGCCACATGGTAAATGTCTGTTTTTCTATGCCTACGGTTTGAGCCATACTATCAGATGGACCCGGGAGGAGAGGAAGCATAAGGAAAGCTGGTGGAGACAGAGTAGTTAAGATAGTTATATGGGTACTTCCATGCCTATGTAACTGATCCCCAGTGAAAACCCTGGACACCAAGACTCAGGTAAGCTTCCCTGGTTGACAACACTTTGCACATGTTGTCATACAAGGTAGCTGGAAAAAGGAAGCACTGTCCATATAGCTCCACTAGGAGAGGATAACTAAAAACTTGTACCTGGTTTCTCTTGGACTCCCATCCTACACACACTTTTCCCTTTGCTTATTTTATTCTGTGTCTTTTCACTGTAATAAATCATAATCATGAGTTTTTTCTTTGCTTTTCTCTGATTTCTGTGTCCTTCTAGCAAATCACCAAGCCTAAGGATGGTCTTCAAGAAATCTGTATGCCCAAACAGAAACTCTTAAGAGCTGGTAGCTCACAACTACCAAGTTTTCAACTCCAATATTCTCAAACATAGTGGCATGATCACCAATGTCTACTGAACTATACAGACATCACCACTTTTGAATTTTGCACATCATGTTTAAAGTGTGCTGCCTCTTGTTTCAGATGACAAATAAGGACTGAACAACAAACTACAACAGAAATGTTATTACAGAATTAATTCACATAGTAACATCCCATTCTGACCACTTGCGAAGTGGTCAATTCAAACTGCCTTATACTGTAAATGTAAAATACAAACTGGATTTTAAAGACTCAGTATTTAAAAAAAAAATACTCAGGGGCGCCTGGGTGGTTCAGTTGTTTAAGTATCTGCCTTCAGCTCAGGTCATGATCTCAGGGTCCTGAGATCAAGTCCTGCATCAGGCTCCTTGCTCAGTGGGGAGCCTGCTTCTCCTCTGCCCGCTGCTCCCCCTGCCTGTGCTCTCTCTCTCTCCCTCTCTGACAAATAAATAAAATCTTTAAAAAAAAAATTTTTTTTTAAATACTCAGTATTTTAAAAGAATATAAAAATAACTCATTAACTGTTGTATGGATAACATAAAAAAACATTCCAGACATATTTGGTTATGTAAAATGTATTACTAAAATTAACTCTACTTTCTAAAAAATATTTTTAAATTAAGTATGGGGTCCACATATTTCTACTGGACAATGCTGGTATAGAGCACCTAACTGATCTTGGTAGTTTTAAGTGGGTACAATTTAAAAAAGGAATCACATAACTTTTAATCTTTTCTTCATAAAATGCATTTGAACAATATTTTAAGAGACATTCTATGTTTTTTATAACTCAGAATATTTTCT